TTTATTTTGTAAAATATATTTAATTAATCAAAGTATGCATCGTTATTATCTATGCACTTTTCCCATCACATACTCTTAGGTAGTTCATTGATCCCTTTACTAAAAAACACAATAAACTCCTTGAAGGCAGTTTGGACTGCCGCTTCGGAGTTGAATTTTTTTTCCTTATAAGAAGTTGTCTAATATCTAGAAAAAATGGTAATCTGTTGGAGCAAGCTCCGGGGAGTACGGTGGATGTCGCAGACATTCCAGTTGTAGCTCTTCCAACTTAGTGGTTGTTTGTTGTTCAGTGTGTGGTCTTGCGTTGTCGTGATGCAGCAGTGGCCTAGAGCGATTGACCAAACTCTTGTTGTTTAGCAGCTAGTTCTTCCTTCATGATTTGCAGTTGCTGACAATAGATATCTGCCGTAATAGTTTGGCCAGATTTTAGAAAGCTGTAGTGAACGACACCGGCGCTATTTCACCAAACACTCACAAGTAACTTTTTCTGAATCGATTTTCGTTTGGGGTAGGATTTGGCTGGGTCCCCAGGGTTAAGCCATTGCGACGAGCGCTTCCGATTATCATACGGTATCCAGTTTTCATCACAAGTAATGATTCGATTTAAAATCCCTTCATTTTTTTGTCGGTTGAGCAAAGTAACGCAGTAGTCGACGCGTGTTTGCAAGTTCGATTCACTCAATTCATGAGGTACCCATCGTTCAAGTTTTTTTAACTTTCCCGATTTGCTTCAATAGCCTGCAGCTATCTCTGAAGTGCTTTGTGATGGATCCGCTTTCACAATAGCCCTTAATTCTTCATTTTCCACTTTGGTCTCCGGCCGTCCATGGGATTGGTTCTGAAGGTCGAAATTTTCAGAACGAAAACGTTGAAAAAAAAAACATACCGTGCTTTCTTTTGCGACACTAGCGATGTACACATCATTAATCCTTCGAGCTGTTTCTGCAGCACTGGTGCCACGGTGGAACTCGTACTCGTAAATACGCCGATATTTCATGTTTTCCATTGTGCGGTAATAAGCGACGCCAAAGAAAAAAATAATGAGGAAAAACAAATGAATGACTGTTATCAAAACTCAATGTACCAGCTAAATGAATTTATAAATTTGAATTTGGAATTCTTAACCAAAGAGGAGATCATCATCATCATCATCACAGCCCTTCACAAGTCCACTGCTGAACATAGGCCTCCCCCAAGTAATGCCACAAAGCACGGTCCTGAGCCACCTGCATCCATCGACTTCCTGCATATCTTACCAAGTCGTCACTCCATCTAGTGGGGGGTCGCCCTACACTACGCCTACCGGTACGAGGCTGCCACTCGAGAACCTTTCTTCCCCATCGGTTATCGGTTCTTCGAGCTATATGGCCGGCCCATTGCCACTTCAGCTTACTAATCCGTTGTGCTATGTCGGTCACTCTGGTTTTACTGCGGATATCCTCATTTCTGAGTCTATCACGCAGAGAAACTCCGAGCATAGCCCTCTCCATAGCTCGCTGAGCGACCTTGAGCATCCTCATACGGCCAGCAGTGAAGGACCACGTCTCTGATCCGTAAGTCATCACTGGCAACACGCACTGGTTGTAAACTTTAGTTTTCAGAGATTGAGGTACACCTGACGAGAAGATGTGTCGTAAAATCCCGAACGCTGCCCAGCCGAGTTGAATCCGTCGATTGACCTCTCGGTCGAAGTTAGACTTACCTAGTCGGACTATTTGTCCCAGGTAAACGTACTCGTCAACAACTTCGAGCATAGTGCTCCCAACAACTACCGGCATAGGTGAGACATGGACATTAAACATGATTTTTGTTTTGTCCATGTTCAATGAAAGAGGAGATATTTCAGATCAAAGTGGTCAGTACGACAAAACGCTAATTTCGTATGTAAGGACCCAATATATGCAATTTAACCAGTTTGGGAATTCTCGACAATTTACTATCAAAGACATGAGACAGTTTACTATCAAAGTCAAAGACAAATTCCCGTTTCCGGGTCTTCGACTTTTAAGATAACAATTTTTTTTAAGAGGGTTGAGCCATTTTTTAAGGATTTTAATTGGTTAATGTCTTTTAAAAATCAACATTTATTAAACAGGAAGTTAAATCTTAATAACTTAAAAGTTAATTTCAGTCTTAATAGTTGCTTTGTTTATTTCTTTTAATCAGACAGAGATTCACTTTTAAGCAGTTAAATCTTATAGTTACAAAACGAACTTAGTTAAAAATCATACTAATTCTTAATAACTTTACTTTATCTAGTAACTCTAGTATCTAATCATTGGTCATAATCACAACATTGTTAATTCTCCTTATCACAGATTTGTTTCATACCTATTTAATAATTTTAATAAAAATCATAAAACACTTACTTATAAATCAGACTTTCAAATAAGTAACTAACACATTAATTAGACTTCCTTGCTTATTTAATAAAATAGGCTTTTAAAAAATCAAAGCGTCAACAGCTTTCTCCGACAATCTGTTTCTGATTTTTGTAATAATGCCACCGGACAGGGAGAACACACACTCGTTTTCTACAGATGTCAGTTTAATTGTGTTTAAGGCTTTATACAGTAGTTCCAAACTTCCTGTGCTTTTTCCGGTTGTTAAATTAAAAAAAGGAATTTCAACTGTTCAAACTTGTCGGTTAAATTGCGTTTAAGGCTTTATACAGTAGTACCAAACTTACTGTGCTTTTTCAAATTTTGAACAACTGAAACTGCTTTTTTAATTTAACTAACAGATGGCGTTAGGCTCCTTCAATTATTTGAAAATAAAAATGATAACATAACAAATTCGACAATCTTGTCTCGTCTCGAGTCTCGACCCGTAAGTCCCGGGACTTGAGACAACTAAAATTACAAAAAGTCCCCAAACCCTAAATGTAACCTTATTCAATTAAAGTTGGATATATTATCGTACCCTCCTTTTCATCAGACTAACAGCCCACTGCTGGACTGGAGTGATGAGCCTCTAGCATTTTAGGAAGGATTTGCTCCAACCACCACAATTGGAAGGTCAGTTGCCAATGGTTCCAGATGTCACACACCTTTAACACCGTTCCCCGTCACCAGTCTGGGTATTTTATCTGTCCTATAATAAATCATGTCACCATTTAAAAGAATATTATTTTATTCAATATAGATTATAAATCATACACATTCTTTGATAGTTAAGTTAGTTTTTAGTTAAGTAGTTTAAAGATGGGAAAAGGGTCACAGCAGGACTGTAAAAACTACTGTGGTATCAGCCTTCTTAGCATTGTGGGAAAACTGTATGCTAAGGTACTAATTGAAAGAGTTATGAAAGAAACTGATGAAAAAATTTGGGATGTGCAAGCGGGATTTAGAAAGGGAATGGGGTGTACAGATCAAGTCTTTTCCATGCGCATGATCGCGGAGAAGTTTTTGGCGAAAAACCAAAAAGTTTTTTGTGCGTTCATGGACTTGGAAAAGGCTTATGACAGAGTGGACAGGGATGTGTTATGGCAAACGCTGAACGCATTTAGGTTGAGCGCTGGTTTGATACAGGCATTAAAGTCTCTGTATAGGGACTCGAGTGCTTGTGTTAGAATCAACGGGGTCTACTCGGACTGCTTTGGCATCCATAAAGGTGTCAGACAGGGCTGTGTGGCTTCCCCGTGGCTGTTCAACCTATTTATGGACAGCTGTTTGGAAAATTTGAAAGTTGAAGAATGCGGGTTAAGAATGGGTGAGTTAACCATCAAATGCCTTTTGTACGCTGATGATCAAGTCATACTTGCGTCGTCGGCGGCCGAGTTGCAAATGATGGTTACATTAATGAACAGGTCATTAAAAGAAAGGGGAATGAAAGTGAACGCAAGTAAGACGAATGTGATGGTTTTTGAAAGAGATGAAAGCAAAACGGTATGTGAAATAAGAATAGAAGGAGAGTTAATTGAGCAAGTGGATGAGTTCGTATATTTGGGATGTGTATTCAGCAGGGATGGGAGATATGATAAGGATATTGAACGACGAGTGAATGCAGGAAATAAAGTAAATGGGGCTCTACACTCTATTGTGAAAAGTCAGAATGTGTCAAAAAAAGGCACGTATGGCAATTCACAGTGCTGTATTAGTCCCTACTTTAACGTATGGTAGTGAAAGTTGGGTGTGGCAGAAGAAGCATGAGAGTAGAATAAATGCAGTAGAAATGCGGTCGCTAAGGAGTATGTTAGGGCTGAATCTGAGTGACAGGGTGAGAAACTGTGTGATAAAAGAAGAGTGTGGTTTGCAAGATGATGCGGTGACCAGGATTAAGAAAGGAATGCTTCGGTGGTTTGGTCATGTAGAAAGAATGAATGCGGAAAGACTGACAAAGCAAATATATGTTGCAGAAGTGAATGGTAGAGTCGGAAAGGGACGTCCTAGGCGGAAGTTTGTCGACCAAATTGGCGATATACTAAAAATGGGCCAAATTAAGAGTACCCTTAACCGACGAGCATGTATGCGTAGGTATATGGATGTGGAAGAGGCGAGAAAGGTATGTCAGGATCGTGCTAAATGGAAGTCTGTAGTCTCTGCCTACCCCTCTGGGTGACAGGCGTGAGTGTTTATGTTTATGTTTATGTAGTTTAGATAGCTTATAACCATAGTAAGTATGAGTGGCGTATAAAGTAAGCACACGTGTTGTTACTTTAGCAGTTTATTGCATGTACTGAGTTTAATGAGAAAATGGTGCATTATAGGTTTTTATAAATTTTATAAGTAATAAATATATGGTATTTGAACCGTACGCTTATTGAAAATCATTTTATATTTTTACCTTTCATTCAGACTTCAACTTACTGTGTTAATACAATTATCGCAACATGGACGTTACGGGTCTAAATACCTTAATTTCACCATTTTCTGATATGTTTATTCTAATGTTTTTCTGATGAATTTACGACGCCCTAAAAACGATAGGATTTTTAAACTCCTTTATTTTGTCAGTTATAGACCAAAATTATTATCAAAATGAATGCTCTTGAATTTCAGTGTTCTGTCAAGGGGGCTTTTTGGTGAGTCTTCTGATGGTTCACCTCTATCAAGAAAGAAATTTTCACATGCATATGGTAAAAGACGACGCAGTATAAGAAAGGTTAGTTTATTATGCATCTGTGGTTTTAAAATACAGTAATTGTTATTTTTTTAATTCTTGATGATTTATTTAATATTGCTTTCTTAAATTTACGCGAACACTACACATTAAATAATAATAATAATAACGGAGCGCATAGATGATCTCTCTCTCAAGCAGAGCATCGCGTCTTGGGGAAAGCGGATTCGGCAATATACCGAGAGGTCGACACGGTTCAACCGGAATCGTCTCTTTCAGAGTGATCAGAGGAGGATCTATAAATCATTAGAAGCGACCAATGGTAGGTGGAACGGGTGAATCAGGCCGACACTGTCGCATTCTGGCGCGGCCTGTGGTCAGAGCCCGTAAACCACAGTGAGGGCCATTGGATGGAAGTTGTGGCGAGTTAGTGTGCGGGTATTATGCCCACGGACTCCGTCATCATTACGCCAGATGACGTAGCTGATGCGGTCCGTAGGACCCCGAACTGAAAAAGTTTGGGGCTTGACGGGCAACATCACTACTGGTTGAAGGGGTTCGTGGTGTGTCACGCTGTGCTCGTCCGACATTTTCAAGAGGCTCTCAACTAGAAGTCGCTCCCGAGCCTCTTCACTACTGAGATCACTCATTTTTTTCCTAAGGACCAGGGTACCACATACCCGAGCAAATACCACTCCATCACGTATCTACCGACCATTTACAAGACACTAACATCCATTCTGTGCGCGAGAATCACTCGTCACCTGGGCTCAAATGAGGTGATGTCGCACACCCAAAATGGATGTCGGAGTTCTGGTCGTGGAACCAAGGAACCACTCCTCATTGACGCGGTCGCGGTCGGAAACTGGTAAAACGCAACCGTCGGAACTTCTCCGCCGCCTGGATAGACTATATATAGAAAGGCATTCGACTCGAAACATGGCTAAGGAGGGTCCTCGAGCTGTACAAGATTGACTGTGCAGTTAGAGACTTCCTCGGAGCGGATGAAGGCTACGGAAAGTCGCATAAGGATAAGAAGGGGTATCTTCTAGGGCGACTGTCTGATTCAAATTTGGTTCTGCCTCTCTTTGAACCCTCTCAATACTTTACTGGAGGGCTCCGGGAGGGGATTACAGCTTCAGAAAGGAGCTACAAAAGCGACCCACCTTCTCTGTATTCATTCGACAGTTATTCACCTCCAGTCGCCCCCATATTGTGGAATTGCTAAACGTCATTTGTGAATTTAGCAATTCTAAGTATTTACAACTTGCTGGCAGCCGTTCTCGAAAATGAACTATGAGAATGAATGATGAAAGGACCGGGACATCATCACAGACAGGACTATTCTTGCGAATAAGCCTGATATAGTGCTGATGGACCGGGCATAGTCAAGGACATTTTTGGTCGACATTAGCATTCCGTATGACGAGAACCTAGTGAAAGCCGAATCAGATAAGAAAACAAAATATCTGGACCTGGCTCACGAGGTGATCGACATGTGGGGTGGTCTGCCGACCGAAATAATTCCTGTAGTCGTCTCTGCGAATGGGTTAATCCCGGTCAGCCTCTCGGGTCATCTGAGGCGACTGGGACTACGTGACGGACCGCTCCGGGCTCAAATGCAGATGCCGGTGCTCCTGAAACTTAAATAAGTGTGGACATCTTTATTTATTATTTTATGAATCGGAATACATGTATGATAAACGTACGATGAATTTATATTTAACAGTTTAGTATCATTATATATTTTATAAGTTGGTGTGAGATAGAATTATATTTGAATAGAAAATTTATAATTTTATTTTGAACTCTTTGTTTTGGGTTTAAGTTATCCTTTGCGGCTGAGTCCCAAATTTCTATCAGATAATAGATGTGAGGTTTGACTAGAGAATTGTAAATATGATAGTATTTTATGCGGTAAACAGTTTTTACTTATAATAATGTACATAATGTTAATTAATGATAATGAGTATTATAATATCCTGAATTATTTTATTCTCAATTTCGTGACCACCCCTAGCATGTACATCGCCTGGATAAACACCTACGCGGACGGCGGCATCGCCTGACATCAAAGGCGTTTCACAACTGTTAATCTTTAAATTGTGGTATAGTGTACCTACGCAATGGGAATCTTATAGTGAGAAAGTGATCTTTGGGTGCGGGGTAGTACGGAGAGCGGTAAAGACTTCTGGCCACACACCTAAGGTCACTGACGCGGGGACAAGCCTTAAGTCAAGAAACCATATGAAATATACTATATTTAACATACGATGTTACCTAAACACAGTGTATCAAAAGTTCAAATACATATTGAGACTTATTTTTTTTTTAATTTATTTTAAGGTTATAGACAAAAAATCTTTGGATATCGATACTATAGTGATAGCGAATACGGAAGAGTTTGAGCGCAAACGTCGACTCATCAAACGCCAAACAAGACTGGTAAGATTTCATTTCTTTGTATGATCTATATATCTTATCTATACACTTATTATGTATTGTTACGAGCTTGAGGTTCGTGACAATAAAAACTGCCGATTGAATTACCAAAATTTACACTTTTAATTTTCTTTACACCAATTAAAACTAAAAACACTAATGATTAATCACACTGATTCACTTTATTTCGCTACGAAGCATCGCTTGTCTCGCCAAATTCAATACTGCCTCGATCGCGTCTTGCAGCGCCTTTATATAGGGCTCTTCCACGAAAACATCCAGAATATTCCAGAATATTCAAGTAAATATTTTATAAGTAGTTTGACTCGACCAGATACAAACCACGCCGACACAGATTCCTTCCAGCTGCCAAACATTACCGTCGCACATCGCGATAAAACTTACGATACCATCTACACCATCTGGTTGCTTAGCGGTTCACCACGGTGTGATTTATATGTTTTTTTTTTCTTGCACAAATTATTTGTGGAAACATCTACTACCAGTAATTTTTCCAATCGATACGATAAATGGTCCTTCAAGAAATGAGCTTACTCCTTTTTTAAACGCCCCGGCAACGCAACTGCAATTCCCCTGTTGTTGCAGTTGTTCATGGGCGTCGGTCGATACTAACCGTAGATGAGGCGCATTCTCGTTTGGCCTCTTTTCTATAAAAAAAAACTGTAGCATAATGTTGCTCAGACGAAATAAAAACTCAAGACAGAGCGCTGTCAACAAAGAAGTGAGGTCGGTTTGGTAAAGATGTGTGCACTAAGCGAGTGTTGCCGTGCAATAAAAATTTATTGCCCTAATATATTATTGTCTAAGTACTATCAGGATGAATGGATAAGTAAAAAGATAAGTTGGCAATTTTTTCAATTGTGTACCTCACTTTAAGAAGTAGTATGTAAGTATGTTTATTTCGACTAAGAAGGGGAAAAATAAAACAATAGTAATATGAAAGAAACATTGTTTTTATTTTTTATTTTTGTTGAGTTAATTTTTTAAATATTGCCGTTTACTGTCCACCGTTTTGGAAATTGTTTCCAATAGTTTCAATTTATTTAGTTTCAATTTATTTTATTTATTATTTATTTTTCAATTATGCATCTTATTAAGCTTATTTTATGCTCTTGACCAGCATAATTGTTCTCAGTCTCCAATTTGGAGAAAACGTCGGTACCAATAAATCGTTTTAAAATATTAATAACAACTGATTTGTGTTGGCTTTCAGTAACTATCATACATTACATAATTTACGTACAACAGTTTCACAAATTACGCAAATTTCAAAAAGGTCTTTCGACGGAAAGATTAAGCCACCTTTATCTTTTAAAGATATCAGTTTATGGAAGTCAAATATCTCATCCGACTGTAAGCGAGCTAGACACGTTTGACACTTTATGACCCTTGACAGGCAATGCGCTGTACTTCCTGATATATGTATATCCGATAATGTATTTTTTATAGTCATTAAGTTCTCCGATATATAAACGACTGGCTAAATCAGCACAATCATTTCTGATTTCTCTTAGAAATTGTAACGAAGAACCTTCACACTTACTTACACTTACAATAATTTTATAAATATTATAAGTAAAATAGAAATATATTAAATAGAATTACATTAAGTTTCGCGTCCCATTAATAACTTACCGAATAAATGGGGACTACGGTGACGCTCACTAGTGGCAACACTTGTCGACGTTTTATGTTCCAAGCTGTCACAATAAATAATAAAAATGATTAATTAAAAATTTAGATTTTTATGTTTACTTACGTATGAAATGTGATTCCATCCCGTTTTTTATTTCTGGAAGATTGGTTTTTACACCCTTTCACAACACAATTCGGCATTTTTTCTTTAAAAACTGCAAATTATTATAACGTGACACTCCGTGCGCTGGAATAGCTCGAATGAGAAGCTAAGGCGTAGTTTCGTTATATTTGTGTGCGTGAAACTGTGTATGTACAAGGCAAGGCGTAGTTTTACCTGCCTCAGTGCGTTGTTCGGCGGAGCTCTGTCTTGAGTTTTTATTTCGTCTGCGTAATGTTGCTGTTGTGGCTGCACTGTTGTCGCGCCACAAGTAAAAATGCACCAAAGCCTAAATCTTACTGTCAAAGTTCCGAAATATTGCGGTATATACAGGGTTATTCTGCAATAACTGGCCAAGTTTGCAGAGAAGGTTCAGCACAAGTAATATAGGCAAATAGTGAAGAAAAATTATTTAAATAAAATCTCAAACATTCTGTCTTATTTATTTTTTATTCAAAGTACGTGGTTCTTTGAGTATTAAGCCAATCGGAGAGGCAATGCGCGTTAATTCCGAAACAAAAATGTCTATCAATGTCTGGGGGACGCAAGAAAAACACTCTACAGTATACTTCACTACAAATGCGAAACTGAATCGCGTCACTATACACATACACTACAGCATTTGTGTTTGTATTCATTGCATTTACGCATATATAAATTGTACACGTGTCAATACACTAGTGTCGCTGTCTACGTGCGTAAGCAACGTAAGGCGAGGACTACGTCGATATTATTTATCGAGAAACAAATCATCGTAGTCCGCATAAGTTCAGTGTTGGTAAAAGTGACTTTTAGTATTTTTTCCTACCTACAGCCCTTCACAAGTCTGCTGCTGAACATAGGCCTCCCCCAAGGGGTGCCACAAAGCACGGTTCTTATCCTCCTGCATCCATCAACTTCCTGCATGTCTAACCAGATCGACACTCCATCTATTGGGCGGTAGCCCTGCATCCCACCCACCAGTACGAGGCTGTCACTCGAGAACATTTTCCCCCCAGTGGTTGTCGATTCTTTGAACTTTCACATTGTTAATCAGTTGTACACATTTCAGAGGGAACTACTTGGTGAGGATGGGCTAAATGTTCTAGTCATAAACGATGAAGTGTGTCTCGAATACAATTTTGAGGGACTTTGCCCCGTTGTTACCGTTCATCCTTTCTTTACAAAGGTCATGAAAGTGCATCAGGTATGTAATAGTATTTTTTAAGTTCTTCTAAATTATGTATTTAAAAAAATCGTGCATTTTCATCCCCTATCCTACCTTTAACATGTCAATTTACTGTTACATAATGCAATTAGACTTTCTTGAGTTTTAAATGTAAAATAATAAACTAAATTCGTCTACCTGCTGGGCGATGGCCACTTCTTATACCTGAGTGGGTTTTAAGGACAGGAAAAGGCCGCAGCGCTGCTTCAATGCGTGTAAACGAACATTATATTATGGTCCCGCTAAATTTCAAAACATGCCGGTTTCACCTTAGTTTCCTTCAATCTCCAACATATCCAGCACTAAAATAACGGTAAACAACTCCAACTAGAACTATAAAATTTTTGGTTGTACGACGATAGTTCTACGACCCTTTTAATTTAACGTTCGCAGTACGAAGGTGTAAAGTTCATGTGGGACGCTTGCTTCGAGAGCCTGGCGATGATAGAGGCGGGCCACCCCGGCGGCGGCTGCATACTCGCCCACTGCCCGGGGCTCGGCAAGACTTTGCAAGTGTTGGCGTTGCTCCACACGGTAAGTATATAACACGACCGCATGATTTCACAGTGTGACAAAACCTACCTATCCAGGGTTTAAATAAAAAATGATGGACTCAGTAAATAGCATGTTATTTATTTTACTTTTTACAGAATAGATATCAATATAAATTTTCCAAACGACTTCATAAAAGGCGGAGGTGCTCAATTCGACTGCACGTTTTTAAGTGTGTTGTTACCTCAGAACTTTTGGTCACATATAAATTTGATTAACATCTGAGCTGTAGTTTTTGAGTTATCATTAATAGTGTGTTTTTAATTGACTTCGACCACATTGATGTTGTTCTCATTTTATTTTTATTTTTTTAATTTATTAATGAATTCATAATTCATAAATTCATAATAAAGTGATGTTACCTAATTCAAAACTCGCCAAACTTTTACGATTGATGGCGAGAGGCGCTTTTTTAGATAGCAATGAACTCAATTGTAAACCTTATGTATACTCCTAATATTGTGCATACTAATACACAATTATATAATATAGACCTATGACATCTTTTTGTTAACGTTATGTTAACTATATAACCTTGTATACATGTAACTTTAATTATGTATATTTAATACCTAATACTTATATTGAAGACGGTTGTACAAAATTTTTAATGTTACACGCCATAATTAATGCCTGGTACATGGCACTAGCGCTATCTAGTAACGAGTAGCAGAACTAATGCTTATAGAGAATTCCATAATAGAACTTTCTACAGCTAATCAGTCGGGACCGGTATGTACTTGAACATTCTAGATGTTTTAGTAGAAGAGGCCCTATCCTATATAAGGCCGGTGAGGACCGCGACCGACGCAGTTTTGAATTGGTAATACAAGCGAATACTTCGAAGTGAAAAAACTGCGAATTGAACTGTTTATTATTAGTGTGCTTTGAAATTGGTGTTCGGTAATTAAAGTGTCAATTTTGGCAATTCAATCTCAAGCTCGTAACATTAATTTTACCAATATTTTAAATACTGAATCTAAATTGGTTTTAAAAATACTGATTCGTCAAAGTTTATATATCTTTATTATTAGTTAAAATTTCTATCTATGTAAATATTGTTTTTATATGTTTTAGTGCGATCACATTGTGATATTGTAGAATTTTAGTAATTGATTTGAACTGGTTAATCACCTCATTATTATATTATGTATGTTGTATTGTGATATGTGCGTTTATACTGTTAACTGTATAAAGTTTTTACAGAGTAGAAAAGCGGTGTAGTTTTACTGCTACAATGTAAATACAGCAACAAAAAAATGTTTGAAGTTTTAACTTAGGCTTTATTTTATAGAACTTATGTTATTTACAAGTAGTGTTATTCGGAAGTCGTAATCGAATATAAGTACGTGTATTCATATGAGCATGTCTTATAATGTAATACATGCAATGCACACACACATGAAATTGCCTATGAAATGGGGTTTTAAGATTTTGTTGATCTAAATCTAATGTAATACACATTAATTTTTGCTTGGTTAATTGTCTAGTCAGACATCAGGCAGGCTGCATAAAATCATAGTTCCGATTTTATTTCTTGAGGTGCTAGAGATGATTAGCTAGTGCCTCAGTGTTTGCTGATAGCTATAATAATATCTATTGATTGATCACGGTGGATACCGGTATCCATTCAAGAAAAAATCCAACGCTTATTTTAACTATTCAATTTGGGGGCACAGCAGTGCCCCCGCCAAGTCGAGCAAAAGTGCGGCACGGCTGTACCATCCTTTTCTCGAAGCAGTTCAGGCCATTTTCGACCCCCCTAACTTCTTTATGAATAAAACTAATATTACAAATCTTTTATGTTTTAAATAAATATATTGACTTGGCAATCGCACTAAACAATATTATTTAATATTATATATGTATTAATTGTGAACTACATTGTGTTTACATGCGATGGATAAAACAATCTATTTATTTAAAACATAAGATTTTTAATAATGGTATGTTCACTATAAGATGTTAGGTTAGCTAATTACGTAATTCCATAGGACATGTTGCGGCCCTGTCGTTGCGCCACAAGCGAAGCACACCGAAGCCTAAATAACGCTATCAAAATTCCGAATCATAAACAGTATATATAGAACATCTCCGAACTATCACACGGAGTGTTGGCCGCTCCCCGGGCAGAACATCTTGCCCGGCGAAGATCTCCCCTTTTCCTTCCATGGCCAAAGTAGTGACCACCCGACGTGATCTGAACACGCAACCAACAACCTTCGGAAACTTCAAGCTTCATCATCGTCATAGAATATCCCACCTATTCGCTCCCGAGCAGATATCGTCTGCAGTCTTCATATCTTGCAAGTCAGCTAGCTTCACAAGGTTCATCGCAGCACTGGAATAATAATGCTTCCTGTTCCTTCAAGATACTCTCTGCGCTATACAGTGTTCGGCACGGCTCTGAGCCTCACTGCTCGCCTCTGTTTCACGGCACTCTCGCCTTCTATCCTATATTACTTGCCTTCTTCTCGGCTCACAGCAGACTACAAGGCAATCCACTGGCACTTGCACATTCGCCGACAACGAGGCTGCACTATCGACCTCCGGTCTGAGCAGGGGGGTGATGTGGCGGCGCTTGCGCCACAAGCGAAGCCTAAAAATCAAAATTCCGAATCATAAACAGTATATATAGAACATCTCCGAACTATCACACGGAGTGTTGGCCGCTCCCCGGGAAGAACACCTTGCCCGGCGGGAGATCTCCACTTTTCCTTCCACGGCCTCAGACATAAGGATCCTTAAGTAGGGACTGAATAAATTAACTGGTTTGGTATTACATAGATCTTACAACTTTTTACGATAGAAGAACTGAGTTGCGAGACTTGTTTTTTTACAAGTTATGTTTTTGTGGCATTACTTTAACTTCAACAAAATGGGGTCTGTGTATTTTTGGCTCCAACATGGACCAACATGTACAGAGGGATAAAATGAATAACAATTTGTTTAATACATTGTTTCATTACATAATTTAATATATTCGTACTTCAAAAAAACAATTTACGAAAACTTAATTGATCCGTTTTTATATCGCATTAGGTATTGACACACCCACGCGTCGGCATGCAACGAGTGTTGGTGTGCTGTCCGCTGTCCACCGTCCTTACCTGGGTCGATGAGATTCACAAGTGGATCGGACCTGTAACAAACAAGCTCAAGGTAAGGAACAGAGCAGTAAGCTATTTCTATTTGTTATGTTGAAAGTTACACTATAAATAGATATTTAACGTACTTATCCGTTATGTCGCCTCTTACGACATCCACGAGGCGATATGGACTAGTGGATATCCTGACACCTCTAACTTAACTAACTAAACAATCTGCTCATATTTTTTTTAAATTAAATTTATATATTCTAGGTACAGAATTACGACAACATTCACCTTTTTGACTGTATCTCTCTCGTGTCTGTTGTACGTAATTGTACAAAAATGAATATCGGAATATCTCGTGTGACAAAATGTACTTGTCAAGCTTTAATGTTACGAAACTAAATAAAAATTATTACGAATGCATGTGAAGTCCGCCAACACACATTAGAGCAGCGCGGCGGATATTTCCTTGCCGAAAAACCATCTCGAAGATGAGAGGAGGTCTGTGCCCAGCTGTGGGACGTATATATATGTAGGTTAAGTTTAAGTTGGCAAAAAGTCGACGACCAATAGACAGGCTCTGATGTGATGCCAGAAATCGTCTTACACTTTACACTATTTAAATAATTATAATTAAATCAAAATTTTCTTTTAAGTCACGCAATTTGAAGAGGAGAATGCAGGTAATTTCCTCAGCCTAGCCATTGATACTAGACACCCGATAAAACATTTTGAACTCTATTGCATTGTATGTGTAGTGTAGTGTGCTTAAAATAACTTCAGGTGGACTGTATGCTATTTTGTCATCCTTAATGTATAAAAAATATCTATCTGGACTGTATGGTGAAGGCGTTAAAAGTTCCATCATATCATTTTTCCCGTGTGTGGAATACCTTGTGATCGGCGATAGATATACAATCATCTTGTACTTAGACTAGATGTACACATGAATGCACAAATTCTGTCCTTGTCTGTCGTATAAGTTGACTGAAAATAAGGGGGTTTCATGGCCTGATATGTGGTGGTGCAAAATATATTCGACGACAGGAAGCGGCATCAAAGCTGCATGATGTCTAATGCTGCCATCGCCAATGCAAGCGTGACGATTACGGAAAATCTTCCCTGCTGTTTATGATGATGTTAGATGTGGGTGGTATGCGCGAAGTCTTAACATTATCGACTGGTCTCAGGGTTTAATGTAATTAAAATGAATAATTGAATACCTAGTATAATACATTTTGCTGGTCTTAAAAAATATGTCCAGTAAGCTTTAAATTGTAGTTCTGTAGTACTGGCCATTCTAAATCAAAATGATTTTTGTTTGGCTAAGAATTCTGATTTCAAATTAATTTTATTTTCAAAACATGGAATCCTTTTTTATACTAGTCATTTGTTTATTGATTAACGTTATGTTTTCATCACAAAATCATTCAAATCTCAAAATCGAGTAATTATAGAATATGAGTAGGTACCGTTGTGGCAGCAACCCGGTTCAAGCGGCACGCAATATCAGCGACGTCAGCATCACCTTCGATGTTAGCATCAAACAGTATTGGTCTATTTGCGTCAAATTGGCAAGGTAGAAAAGCTTGACAAATGGGTGCCCCACGAACTCCATCATCGCCGTGTGAAGTACGTGACTTGCACTGCTCAACGGGCGCACAAACGAAGGAATTTTGAACCGCATTGTTACCTGCGAAGAAAAGTGGATTCGACAATCGCAAGTTCTCAGTAAGTTGATTGGATCCTGGTTCAGCACATATACAATGCCCTAAACGAAAACTTACTCCCTAGAAAAGTGATGGTCACTGCTTGGTGGTCTAATGCGTGTGTGATTTGTCACAGCTTCTTACGAAACGGGATGAGAATTGCTGCAGATGTGTACTGTGAAGAACTGAACGCAATGATGGAGAAGCTCGTACGTCTCCAACCAGATTTGGTCAATCGCTCGTTTGCGTTACTCCTGCACGATAACGCGTGACCTCATACTGCACGACAGACGGTCCCCAAATTACAAGAACTAGGGTTGGAAGTGCTACTGCTTGGCAAAGATACATCTATTGCGTGGGTGATTATACTTTGATTCATAGAAATAAAAAAATATTGAAAAAAAAACTACGTTAACTTAATTTTTCAGAAACGGCAATTTCATAGGTAAAGGCCTAATATTTGTGACCTATCTTTTGAATAACGTTGCTACACAATGTAATGAACCTTTTATTATGACAGGTATTTGAGTTATCGAAGCGAAAGAAGAATTACGAGAGAGCATGTCAACTCGAAGACTGGTACAAAGGAGGCGGTATCCTTATTATCGGTTACGAGTTATTCTGTAATTTGTCAGCTTTGGATCCTGTATTGGACGGAATTTGCCCAACAATAGTAAACAAAATTCGGTTGGCACTGCTGGACCCAGGCCCGGACATCATAGTTTGTGACGAAGGCCATCTCCTAAAGGACGACAGTTCGGTGCTCGCGGTCGCAATGAACAGAGTTACGACCAAACGACGCATAGTCCTCACCGGCACCCAAATACAGAATAATCCCAAAGAATATTATTGTATGGTGAATTTCATCAAACCGTATCTGCTCGGAAGCTACTCGGAATATTCCTACAGGTAATGAAAATTTGTTTTTCTTATTTTATATTTTTTTGGTGTTTATTCAATACCTTGTCAAAACAAGATATTGTTCTGTATATCAACATATTATATTTTTAATTTTGATTCTTACTTGAGGACAGATCTATCCATCTTTTACAAAAATACTTATTATGTAACATTAATACCAAACACACGAACACACATACGCACACAAGCATACGCGTACAATACTGAGCCTGATGGTCAAGGCAATTGATTGACATACCGAGACATCAAACTCCCTATTCATAGTATTATAAACATAGCTAATACTTTTCCTTTCTAAAACCTAAATTGTGAGAGTTAATAAAAATATGTTATTATATCAGTTTAGACATTACCAAACATACTAAAACGTTTTTAACCAAAGACCGCACACATTGCGTTTACGCTGCATAAATATTTTCCAGGATATTATTATGAATTTGTTGAAATTCCGGAAGGTACTTTTGAGGTTTCCCTCCCTCTAAAGCAAATAAGTAAACCCTTACAGGATCACTTTGTTTTATGTCCATCCATCCGACCGTGCGTCCGTCCGCCTTTCTGTCAAGTCCTTATTTCTCAGGACTGGTTACAGTTATAACTTGGAAATTAATATCAAATAACACGATCTAACGGTCGCTTGGATGTGTAAATATTCAAAGAAAGAGAAAAAAGCATTATTTCTATTAAATTATTTTCAAACAAATCCATTGTCAACCCGTGCCGCACACCGCAGCGAGGCAACGAGAACGACGCCGTGCAGTGCGGAGTACGCGCTCCCCACTGCATCGCGCTTGCCCTTCGCCGCTGACGCCTACTCGACGGAACAGGAGACCACCGCATGCCGCACACCGCAGCGTTGTGCGTTACGACCAAGAGACCAAACCTTTAGGCATTGCTAAGGCATAAAGGCCTCGATTCGTATGCCAATGTCTTTTATGACCTTCTGTTTGGCATCCCACTTCTGACACCAATTTGTTAGGAGGCCGATCCCGATTGACTTTAATAAAAACTGAGTAATCCTAAAGGTTTATTAGTAAAGTTCACACACCAATTTGATATAGTCCCTGCCTTCCGAAAGTAATACATCTCGGAATCTGTCCGATCTAACCGGGGCTCTGTGTCTAACTGATCATTAAAATGGAAATAAAATGAACATGGACAATACAATCGCTGACTAAAGTCATATAAGGGAAAAGTACCGTGTGATAAAATAAATTCTTACTAAAGATTTTACTGCCTTGTAAAAAGGGATATAACAGTACGCAAACTTATTTAGGCGGGTACGTTATGACCTAAACACGGCCTGATTACTTTTATATTATCGTATAGTTCTATTAGTAGTGGCGATTGCTGGAAATCTTCAAGAGTAGAGACTTGTCCAGAAAACTGTTTTAGGTTTGTTGAGGAGGAGTGGATGGATATCTCTATAGAATCATACAGGTTATGTGCTTCTTTATGACATTCTTATTAGAATTCTGTAAATGTTACTATGTGGTTGGATTATTTTTGCCTTTGCCTAGGAGGCTGTCTTGGTACGTATGGTACGTATGGGTGTTTGCACCGTTGTCTGTTGTGTTCTGGTCTGAAAGAGATATATAGAGCAGTATAATCAGGCTGTGAGGCATTCCAACTCAGTCCTTGGAGGTGACAACTGTATCAGTGGCTTTGTTTGTTTGAAGCTGGCTGCAGGTGTTCAAGGACCGCAATAGCCTCTTTGCATCACCATTAGTTATAAAATATGCCACATCAGATAATTATCTTTATCACTCTATTATGGTTTTAATGTTTTGATAGATTCGAGATTCCAATTATGAACGGTCAACACCGCGATTCAAGAGAGGAAGATATTAAATTAATGAAAACGAGGACGCAAGTCTTAAACAAGCTGTTAGAAGGTTGCCTTCAGCGTCAAGAGGCGTCGGTACTATATCCGTACCTCCCCGAGAAACACGAATACACCTACTTCATACCTTTGACGAAATGTCAAAGCGATCTATGTAAACATTATTTAACGCATTACACAAAGTTTGGCGAGCAGCGTACAATGAGAGATTTCCACATACTGCAGAAGATATGGACTCACCCGCAAGTGCTGCATAATTTCCACATGAAATCGTGGAAAGATAATATTAGGAAATGTAAGGGTAAGAATGTGCTTGTTGCTGATATTTAACACATTTAAAAATTAGCGAGAGCCATAATTATTTGTTTTTTCTTATTAAACCTTACATTGAGTAAGAAAAAAATAAAAGAGTGAAGTGAAAATAGATGGTAAGAATTGTTTTTCTTCCTACCAAAATTATTTAAGTGATTGTTAAAATTTTTGTCGGTTGATTTCACTATCTATGAATAAGTCAATAAACGTGTCATGCAAGTATAAGTTGTTAAGCGACAGTAGCCTAATGGCTTTTATTTTGCTTAGATTTGTATGTTGGAAATCACCGCAACGGCTAAGAGTTTTTTTTATAGGAGAGGTGGCAAACGAGCATACGGCCTACCTGATGGTAAGTGATTCCCGTCGCCCATGAATAGCTGTAACACCAGGGGGGATTGCAGATGCGTTGCCGGCCTTTTAAAAAGGAATAAGCTCTTTTCTTGAAGGTCCCTAAGTCGTATCGGTCCGGAAAAATGTCTGGTGGTAGTTCATTCCACAAGGAAGTTGTGCGAGGAAGAAAACTTCTTTTAAATCGCTTAGTGGTGGATCGCCAGTCATCCAGATGGTATGGATGGTATCGCGAATTTTGTCGCGATGTGCGATAGTGAAACTGTGCGGCTGGAATTAGTCCGAACAATTCCTCAGAGCACTCCCCGTGGTAGATGCCATTAAATACGCATAGAGATGCAACATCTCTTCGCAATGCCAGTGAGTCAAGCGGATCGGAAAGAGCTCGGTCGCCGACGATTCGAACTGCTCTGCTCTGCTCTGGGTGCGATCAAATGGAAGGAGCTGGCACTGGGGAGCCCCGGCCCAGAGATGGGAGCAGTATTCCATGTGCGGCCGAACCTGTGCCTTGTAAAGTTGCAGGCGGAGAGCCGGCATGAAATACTTTCCCACTCTGCTAAGCACGCCAACCTTTCTAGAAGCCAATTTGGCCTTCTCTTCCGAGTGATCACGAAACTGCACGCCACTCGATATGTCGACGCCGAGGATTCCGATACTGGATGAGGCAACAAGGGGAGTGCCTTGAAACTGAGGAGATACGACAAAGGGGTTCTTTTTAGCGGTAAACGCGCAAAATCGTGTCTTCTGGGGATTAAACTGGACTAGATTTATTCGCCCCCAAACCGAGATTTTGTTCAAAAAAGTCTCGAATTCAGACACAAGTTTGTCCCGGTACTCGGCAACGTTTTCCCGAGAAATATTGGCACGGCTGGTGTATAAAGATTCACCAGTGCTGTCGTCTGCGTAGCATTGAATGCTACCGATTTACAACATGTTATTGATATACAGAAGGAACAGCGTTGGTGATAGCACACAGCCTTGTCGAACACCAACATTAATTGGCTTGCAATCGGAGCATGCACCGTCTACAACGACCTTGATGCTCCGATCAGCAAGAAAACTGGTGATCCAATTGCACAATTTTTTGGGAAGCGCATAGGAAGGAAGCTTCGTAAGAAGCGCTTTGTGCCAAACCCGATCGAAGTCCTTCGCTATGTCCAAACTAACGGCCAACGCCTCCCCATTGGACTCTACTGCCTTCGCCCAAGACGCGTTAGGACCAGTGCCAACTCCGGAGCGTACGTCTTCAGCACAATAGGAGGGACGCCATCAAGCCCACTCGACATTGTTGGGTAAACATCAAGAGTCGAGTTGGATGCAAAGAGAGAGCCCATTAGATCGGCTTTGTCCTTTGCGGCATGGGCCTATGACAACCTCCCTTTGCAGAGATGGAAGAGATGGCTGGCAGAAGTTCCCTTGGACAGCCTTGGCGAGAGATCAGAATGCATGTGTTCCCGAAGTAAGACGAACAAGTTTCTTACCAATTCTGCCGACGTGCTCTGACTTTGTCCTGACACTGACACTTTTGAATAACCTGGAAGCAGAATTATACTTCTTTTTGAGAACGCTGGTATTTACATCCCGAGGCATCGATGCGCGAGCCCAGGTCTGGTAACACTCCTGCTTATAATGCATTTTTGCAAGAGCAACCAAACCAGGGCTGGGTTCTGCCACCGATAGGTACCACAAATGATGGAATAAATAGTTCCATTCCCTGTAGCATCAAATCAGCGACCGAATCAGCAACAACGCTGGGATCATCCGGCGAGAAGCAAACCCGCCTCCAAGGGTAGGATGCAAAAAAAGATCGCATCCCGTCCCAATCGGCTGATCTATAATGCTAAACACGGCGACAACCTGCAGTACGCAACCGCGATGGGAGCGTAAGTGACACCGTACTCCGGGTCAGACAATACTTCGAGGAGCCAAGAGATGAGAGGTCAGCAGAAGGTCCAACAGGGAAGGTATATGACCTTCCACATCTGGGATCCTCGTAGGCGAGGTAACCAGTTGTGTTAGACCGTACGCCAAAGCAAAGTCATAAACAGATCTACCCGCATGATCGGTTAAACGAGAACCAAGCCGTTCAGCGTGGTGGGCGTTAAAATCACCAAGTATCACGATCTCTGCGGATGGGATCTGTTGTAGCACGGAGTCTGCAGTGATCTGGACGTGGTTGATCAGTCGGTCTGTGTCGGCATTACCGCTACGGGACCTATATAGGCACCCGTAGACGCAGGGATGGTCGTCGCTGTCTACGCGTAGCCATAAGATGGACAGGTCCGTACCTTTAAGGCTGCCGAGGCGTCGAAAACAAATGTCCTCTCTGACGTACACGCAAACTCCAGCCCGGGGCACAAAAGAGTGTTCTAATCTGTACCCCGGGTGGGGTCTCGGCTAGAAAGAGCAAGGCCGGTTTCGCCGTTTCCAGATGGTACCCTAATATTTAAAAGCGCGTACAAAGCCCTCATCTTAACTGTGCGATAGTGATGTGGCTAATCAGCATTCAGTGATGGGCGAGTCAGGGCGGAACAAATGCGAGAAAAAGTCCGATTCCGCTGGACGATCGTGTTCTTCGCGCGCGAACGAACAGTGTGTTCTGTGACTTCTGTGTTTCTAGAACTCGCGTAGGCATAGCAGTAACAGTAACACTACAGAGTACCTTTGTATAAACTGAAAAGTAACACTTTATACCTAAACAAATAGACTTTTGCACCGTGCACGCATTTTGTTGTCATAATGGGAAATTTTGTTTGTATTTTTAATTTTTATCCTAGTGTTAAAATATGAAACATGATACTATATAGCATTGCGAAAATGAAACACTCTATGCAAATATTCATGTATCTGTTTGCATTATGAATCATAAATCTTAACAGAATTACAACTTAAACGTTTTATTTAGGCCTTAATATATTCGATTATGAATAAGAATATCAGACTATGTAAATCATTCTTAAACTTACTCTGAATCAGAAAACATGGTAGGTATATAAATTAGTCCACTTCTTAGAGGACTCGTGCGTACGTACGCTAAGAAGTGATAAGAGTGACATAGGCCAATTGTGTACTAGTACACTAACGTGGGATCTGGGAGCGTTGCATCACACATACGTTGCGTACGTGGGACCAGTCTGTTATTCCCCTAACATGTGACAACAAAAATTTTGTCGCTGATTTATAAAAATAGGACTGATTTGAATTATAATTACAGTGAAGAAGATAGTAGATAACCTGGCGAATGGAGACCTGACGGCCACAGAGAAAATAAAGCCAGCGCAAACTGAGGCATGGTGGCTGCAGTACTTAGAAGGGGGCAAATTGCTTGACTCGTTGGAGAGCTCCAACAAATTGCTTGCTGTCTTCCGCATACTCGACGACTGCCTTGTTCGGGGAGATAAAGTGTGAGCGATTTTTCATCAAAAAACTTTACCTATCTTGTTCTTTCCATTAAGTATTTTTAATTTTTAAATAATAATAATAGTCTTTATTTGCATAAAACATGGTAATTATACAGATGTTTCAGAGTTTTATTATGCCCACATGTTTTGCTATTTTAATATAATATAGCATGCAAATTACATTTATATCAAGATAACCTATATAGTATTAAAAATTAACAAATTAAACATTTTTATTTAAATTATAATTATGTTTTACAATGTCAAAATCTAGTTTAAAATTTCGATCAATTAAATGAAACTAATTTTACGGATGTTATCGCATTTGATTATGACTTTTTAAATTTCCGACGTTTTGAAAATTTAAAATTAAACGCGATAAATTAAAATTATTGCATTGGTTTAATCTACATTTAAACGGCAATAAAAATGAATGTATTCATAACACCAAATATTAAAAAAAAAATGAATACCGATTTGTTTTTAAATGGGAAAGAACTGAGCCCTGTTGAATCCACTGTTTTTCTTGGCATCATTCTCGACACAAAGCTTCAATGGGGTCCTTTATGTTGTAAAAAGATGGAGGTCTCACTAGTGTCGAGACAGCTAGATTAGTTTATTTGAGTTATTTCCATAGCATTACTCATGGAATTTTGCTATGGGAATGCAGCTGATTTAGAAACTGTTTTTCTACTGCAGAAGAGGGTCATAAGAGCTATTTACAACATGAAACCGCGAGAGTCAGTGAAACAATTTAGAGAAATAAATATATTAACTTTGGCTTCTCAGTAAATTTTCGAAAATTTCGTGTAAGTTCAGGAAAACAAGCGTAGTTTTAGAAAAAACGTGATTTACATTCTGTAAACACTAGGAACAAACACAATCCAGTGATACAACGTATGTGATGCATAACATCTCCACAGAGTCAGTAACTTATTCTTGGGGCAATGTATACGCTATTACAACAAATACCCGGAAATATACAAGGTCTTTCTATTAGCAAGTTTAAATATTTTGTTAAACAAAACCTGTATAAAAAGCGTTATCATAATTATAAATGAAATACATGGTTTAGAATAATCCCCGGGAATGAGGTGGTCGCTTCCAAGCTGTTTCTAAAATAAATTTTGTAAATAGATTGTACAGCCAGTCCTTCATATTGTATAAAAGGTTCTCTGCTGGTAAAATAAAAAAAAAACCCTGTCAATAAGAATTACATGTGTTCAATATTTAATAAAACATTATTCGATTCTATACTAATTAAAGAGAGGGAGAGAGGTAAAGCCCTAGTGTGGAATGCTACTTGCGTTGACACTTTGGCGGCCTCTCATCTCAAGGGTACCTCTTTTAGAGCCGGGGCGCCATCAGAGGCAGCCAAATTTAGTAAATGGCGCAAATATGAGTCTTTGAGAAATGACTACATATTTGTACCATTTGCTGTAGAGACTATCGGTCCGTGGGGTCCACGTGCAGTGATGTTCCTAAAGGAACTGTATCCACGGCTGGTCGTCGCTGCTAGTGATAAGAGGGCTGGTTCTTTCCTCGCTCAAAGGCTATGTATAGCTATTCAGCGAGGAAACGCAGCCAGCGTTCTTGGCACTATACCACGGGGAGCAGGCCTTTATGACTATTTAAATTTTAATTGTTAGTTTTTCTATATTATAGCTTTTTGCCATTCGGAAGGGTCATATTTTTATTTTTATTTTATTTTTTATTTAAAAACTTACACGTAACACCTTAAGCTAAAGGGTACATAGGGCGGAATTACTGCCATGTGGCATTCTCTGCCAGTCAACCCTGGGTGCCAAGGACAATTGTTGGCAGGTGCGACCATTATACGTAAATAAGTGCTTATACATTAAAATATACATATATGCAAATTACATACATACACATTACATTTAAATATACACACATATAGTATAAATATACGTACAATAATACATACATACATATATATAATATATATACATGCTTATAAACTTCGTAAATAAATATCCAAATAAATGATATATATAATATAATGTTTGAATAATATATAATGAAATTAATATTTGAAGTAAAAAAGAAGATTCATATTATGTTGTTTTTTTATTTCAGGCTGTTGTTTTCGACGTCTCTGTTCACAATGGACACACTTGAGTATTTTCTGGGGCGCACCAAGAACTGGAGCTTAGGACGCGAGTATTACCGGCTGGACGGCTCCGTGCCCGCCGAGGTGCGCCAGAAACGGTGCCGCGACTTCAATGCAGACAGCAACCAGATAACCAAGTGAGATTCGTTCCTTCCCTTATTTACCACTAATCAATTTTTTAAAATCATAAATTACGTGTTCAACTAACACTTGAATTGGTTTTTTAAATGAACTATAATCTAACTACGAACTATTTTACTGGAAACGAGGCATTTAATTTTAGTCCTCACGGGTGATAACGCATTTGCATTTTGATTCGTAATCAGGAATAGATGTCTATGGGCCACAGCAACCATTTACCATCAGGTGAACTGTGTGCTCGTTTGTCACCCTTATACTATAAAAAAACTACACATAGGATCGCTCATTAACCGGTTAACTAGATGAGTTAATTAAGAAGAACAGATTCAGATCGATAAACTCTTTTTACGGAGCTGGTTCTATCATCGCTTTTTTATAAATCTAAATTGACAAACAAACTTACAGCCCACCATACAGTGGCTACTGCAGTGCACGGTCACTTGCAGCCAATTTCAAATGAGGGCTACAACTGCGTTGTTACTCTGAGGACTAAGATGGGGTGCCTCACGGTTTGTAATTATACTGTCTCTCTATACACTAGACCGGAGCACGGCGGTGCACGCACTGCTATTTGGTGGCAAATGCCCAGGAGTTGCCTACGTACGGTCACCCAGGTAGGAAACGGGTCGTGCCACCTGGTAAAGCTAGTGTCAATGCGTTAGTATTGGTTATATGCCAATCACAATTTTTATATTAATATTCTAACTTAAGTTATAAAATAATGAATAATAAAAAAACTTTTGAGTGATTTCCACCACGTAAACAATTTCTTAACCAAAATTAAGTGCAAACCTGTTCACAATATGAAATATCATCACCTTCACTTTTTTTTTATGGGATAAGCTTATCGAAATTTGTTTTAATTTCTCAAACATGATTTACAGCTGTATATCATTTTTGCATCTTCTCCGCAATTTTCTTTTCAGATTATTCCTTATATCAACTCCGGCTGGCTCGCTGGGGCTCAACATGACGGCAGCTAACCATGTCATTATTCTTGATACTTCATGGAACCCCGCACACGACATACAGAGTATCTTTCGAGTTTACCGATTAGGTCAGAAGAAGGCCTGCTACATATACAGGCTGGTCGCTTTGGTAAGTACAAAACAGACAACATAAATTTATTTTCACTAAGACTACTTCAGTTTTTTGGATGTACACTAGTGAACATTGAAATTTTCCAAAAATAAATGTGCGTTTTAAAACTATACGTTATTTGAAAGAGTCCCACATACTCGCAACGCTGGACAGACAGGGGTGGTAGCAGAGCCGAGACCTTCACACTGTTGATGTATTTTTGTCACCAGTCCGTGGAACATAGACATGACATTTTTATCACCAGAAATGACATTTTTTAAATGATTTTTCATTCATCACATCCTCGTTTGTCTAGCAGCAGGTACCATATGCAGTATCAGAACATTTGCATTTAGACATTAATACAAATTAAAGTATGTAATATTTAAAATCAGGAACCAGGAAACGATAAAATAATCTCGTGTGGTGTACCTAAACCGAGTTTTTACAAACCAAGTTTTTTTATTTATTATGTCATGTGGAAATTGCAGTTTTCGTTTCATCATGCTTGTAACCGTCTTAACTTCCAGGGTACAATGGAACAGACGATATACGAGCGTGCCGTGACGAAGCAGGCAGTAGTGGACGAACAACAGATTGTTCGCCATTTAAACAAGGATGAACTCACGGAATTATACAAGTGCGTGTCTAGCATTTAAATTATAATGTAAATAACCTTGTAGGAGGGGCGTGAGCGATTTCATGGGTGACCGAGGAAAATAAAGCAGTGATGGGCAGTGAAGCGTGGAACTATGGTATCACCACTATGAGGCTATCTATAAGGGAGGCCTACGTTCAGCAGTAGGACTTGCTAGGATTAGCTACAATGGTAACGACGAACTGCCATAATAAAAAAAATATAGAAGAGCAGGCAAAGGAGCAAGCGGCTCACCTGATGAAAAGTGACTACCGCCCCCCAGAATCAACATCAACATCAGGGGAATAGCAGGTGCGTTGCCGACCTTTTAGAAAGGAGTATCCACTTTTCTTGAAGATCCCAAAGTCGTATCTATCCCGAAAAATCGCCGGTGGTACACGATTCCACAGAGGGGAAGTACGAGAAAGAAAACTCTTAGTAAAATGTACAGAGGTGGACCACCAAACGTCCAGGTGTGGTTGATATCGTCAGTTTTGTCGCGATGTGTGTTCATGACATTTGGCGGCTGAGATTAATACGAACAATTACTCAGAGCACTCCCCGTGGTAGACGCAATAGAAAACGCAAAGAGATGCAACACCTCTTCGCAGCGCCAGTGTATCGAGCTGATCGATAAGGACTCGGTCGTTGAAGATTCGAACCGCTCTGCACTGGATACGGTCAAATGGAAGGAGCTGGCACTGGGGAGCCCCGGCCCAGAGATAGAAACAGTATTCCATGCGTGGCTGAACCTGCGCCTTGTAAAGTTGCAGGCGGTGTGCCGGCATGAAATACTGTCCCGCTCTGCTGAGCACGCCAAGCATTTTAGAGGCCAATTACGGCTTCTCTTCCAAGTGACCACGAAACTGCACGTCACTCGATATGTCGACGCCGAGGATGCCGATACTAGCTGAGGCAACAAGGGGGAGTGCCTTGAAACTGAGGAGCTAAAACAAAGGAGTTCTTTTTAGCGGTAAACGTGCAAACTTGTGTCTTCTGGGGGTTGAATTGGACTAGATTTAGTCGCCCCCAATCCGATACTTTGTTTAACAATCTCTGGACTTCAGACACAAGTTTGTTCTGGTGCTCGGTGAGATTTTCCCGATAAATATTGGCACGGCTGGTGTATAACCCATCACAAATGCTACCTAACGCATAGCAATGAATGGTACTGGTTTGCAACATATCATTGATATGCAGAAGAAACAGCGTCGGTGATAGCACGCGGCCTTGTGGAACGCCAGCATTAATTGGCTTGCAATCGGAGCACGCACCGTCTACTACGACCTTGATGCTCCGATCAGACAGAAAACTGGTGATCTGATTGCACAATTTCTCGGGAAGCCAATAGGAAGGAACCAGAATGCACGGGTTCCCGAAGGAAGGCGAAATATTTTCTCGAAAACTCTGCCAATGTGCTCATACTTTGCACTGGCAATAACTCTTTTGAAGGACTTGTAGGCGAAGCTAAACTTCTTTTGAAGGACTTGTAGGCGAAGCTAAACTTCTTGCGAAGGACTTGTAGGCGAAGCTAAACTTCTTTTGAAGGACTCGTAGGCGAAGCTAAACTTCTTTTGAAGGACTTGTAGGCGAAGCTAAACTTCTTTTTAAGCTTGCCGGTGTATATAATGAGGGCAATCACGACTTTACTTTCATGCGACGCCATTTAAGATTAAGGTGACTTATTAGACATATTTCATGGCAGGGAAGTTAATTTGTTCGGAAAATGTAAGGGTAAATATTCCTTTTTAAAATATCAGTTATACTCTATTTAGATTTTAAATGAATAAACAAAACTGAGTATATTTCTCAAAGTATAAAAATTCTGCCTTTAAAAGAACTAGCAATAAACCTAGCGGGATATTTTTAACATGCCAAGTGTCACAACAATCAACGTTATGCGAGAACAACTTTTCTAAAATACTTAAAAAATTGCTACGCTATACAATATACCGAGGTACTATGACTAAAAACTTGCAATATTACTGTTATTTGTTTGTATTAATAACTTGAGCAGCATAGTAGCATTGATCCCAGTTCCAAATTAAAACTAAAGTATCGGAAGTCTTAAGAAATACATAAAATTAGGTTCATTATTTTCTTGCAATTTTAGAAAAATTTAACTTTTTATCTACTTTCACTTGTCACGGTAAAAAATGTATCAACACTACTATGGCAACATGTTATAAAAAGTTAGCACCAGTAATCAAGATTCTAAAATTGTACAAGGTGGCCCATAAGTCGTTAGAAATGTAAATTTCGAATAAAATACAAAAAGGCGCGCATGAGTGGCGCGCGCGGTGCGAGGGGAGTACCGACGGTTCTGGGAATTCAGTCGCCATGGAGCGTTTCACCGGTGCGGACCGTGCATTTTGTGTGCGCGAGTTTTATCGAAACAATGATTCGGCTACCATTGCGCGGCGTAAATTTCGAGAATATCAGAATTTACGCAACTTTAAAGACATTCCAAGTGTTCAAACGATTAAGAACTGGGTTATTAAGTTCGAAGAGAGTGGTTCGACGTTGGATAAACAACGGTCAGGTCGACCAAGGACATCACGGACGGAAGAAAACATCGATGTAGTGAAACACTCAATTCGTGAAAATCCTACCCAGTCTACTCGTAAGCGTTCCAGTGTATTAAACTTACCCAGAACATCGTTACAGCGAATTTTAAAGAAAGATTTACATCTTCACCCGTACAAGATTCAGATAGTACAGGAATTAAAAGATACTGACACTATCCACAGACTCAATTTCAAATGAAATGTTGAACCGCTTTACTTCGTTTAATAACGTGTTATTCTCTGATGAGGCTCACTTTCACATCAACGGCCATGTCAATAAGCAAAATTGTCGCTACTGGAGTTGCGAAAATCCAAATCGCAAACATCAAAAGCCCTTACATATCCCTAAAGTGACAGTTTGGGCGGCTATGTCAGCGCATGGCATTATAGGCCCTTACTTTTTTGAGGACGGCAGAGGCCGCGCGCTTACTGTTACTTCACAACGGTATGTAGCTATGATCCAGGACTTTTTTACACCAGAGTTGCAGAATTTTCCAGGCTTCAATACGCGGACCTGGTTTCAACAAGACGTCGCTATGCCGGTCGTCCGTCAACTTTTCCCTAATAAAGTGATCTCTCGAAGAGGAGATATTCCTTGGCCACCACGTAGTCCAGATCTGACCGCAATGGACTATTTCTTATGGGGTTATCTTAAGACTAAAGTGTACGAAACCAACCCGCGGACAATTGACGTCCTGAAAGAAAATATCCAAAGAGAAATGGCAAACATTACAGAACTTACTTGCCGCGCAGTGATGGATAATTTTAAACGTCGCTTACAGGAGTGCCGCGATCGTAACGGATTACATTTAGATGATGTACTTTTGAAAAAATAATTCCCATTTTATAAGGATTATGACAAAATAAAAACCTTTTTCATAATGTCATTAGTTTTTTTTAAATTATTTTTTTACATTTCAAAGGACTTACGGGCCACCCGGTATAACAGACTGACACAGTGCAGTAAAAAATATTCATATTTTTTTCTTAACAAGAACCAAACAATTATTAATTATTCTTGAAAACGTTATTGTGTGCCCAAAAACAGATTTTGCGTTACCAGATTCAGGTAGACAAGTGTCGTCAATAGATTTTTGAAGTTATTTTATAGAAGAGGTGGCAAACGAGCATACAGCTCACCTGATAGTAAGTGATTACCGCCGCCCGTGAACTACTGCCACACCAGGGGCATTGCAGATGCGTTGTCGGGTTTTTAAAAAGGAGTAGGCTCTTTTCTTGAAGGTCCCTAAGTCGACTCCACATGGAAGTTATGCGAGGAAAAAAACTTCTTTTAAATCGCACGGTGGTTAAATGCCATTCATCCAGATGGTATGGATGGTATCGCGATGTGCCATGGTGAAATTGTGCAGCTGGAATTAGTCCGAACAATTCTTCAGAGCACTCCCCGTGATAGATGCGATAAAATACGCAAAGAGATGCAACATCTCTTCGCAGTGCCAGTGAGTCAAGCTGATCGGAAAGAGCTCGGTCGCCGACGATATTCGCACAGCTCTGTACCTGATGTGATCGAATGGAGGAGCTGGCACTGGAGAGCCTCAGCCCATGTGCGGCCGAACCTGCGCCTTGCAAAGTTGCAGGCGGTGAGCCGGAATGAAATATTGTTCCGCTCTGCTGAGCACGCCAAGCCTTTTAGACGCCAATTTGGCCTTCTCTTCTAAGTGACCACTAAACTGTACGTCACTCGATATGTCGACGCCGAGGATTCCGATACTGGATGAGGCAACAAGGGGAGTGCCTTGAAACTGGGGAGATACGACAAAGGGGTTCTTTTTAGCGGTAAACGCGCAAAATCGTGTCTTCTGGGTATTAAACTGGACTAGATTTATTCGCCCCCAAACCGAGATTTTGTTCAAAAAAGTCTCGAATTCAGACACAAGTTTGTCCCGGTACTCGGCAACATTTTCCCGAGAAATATTGGCACGGCTGGTGTATAAAGATTCACCAGTGCTGTCGTCTGCGTAGCATTGAATGCTACCGATTTACAACATGTTATTGATATACAGAAGGAACAGCGTTGGTGATAGCACACAGCCTTGTCGAACACCAACATTAATTGGCTTGCAATCGGAGCATGCACCATCTACAACGACCTTGATGCTTCGATCAGCAAGAAAACTGGTGATCCAATTGCACAATTTTTTGGGAAGCGCATAGGAAGGAAGCTTCGTACGAAGCGCTTTGTGCCAAACCCGATCGAAGGCCTTCGCTATGTCCAAACTAACGGCCAACGCCTCCCCATTGGCTGAGGCAACAAGCGGAGTGCCTTGAAACTGAGAAGATACGACGAAGGGGTTCTTTAGCGGTGTTATTTATTAATAGTAAATCAATCAAAGGTTGATCTAAAACCCAGAAAAGTAAAAGGTAATAAATATTCAAAGGATTATCAGTCGCCAAAATATGAAAATAAATCGGAAACAATTGAAAAAAGTGTAAGTGCAAAGCAAATAGAGGAAAGAAAAAAAACTTCGGACTCTGATGACTTGGTAATGATTTCTGACGATTCCACAAGTCGTGCAGAATTTAAAACTGATACTAGTAGAAAAAATGAGAAAAGCACGAAAATCAAGCTCTTGTCACCAAAACCTGAAAAGAAAAAAATACAAAAAATGGCACAATATCCGCCAGCAGAAGATAAAAAAAAATCTTCGACTTCTTCAAGTCCACCAAAGCTTCAAACTTCTATTCCAGAAGCAGTCCCCGTTGAACTGTAAGTAGCAAAAATGTGAACATTTGTTATTGGCAAAGTTTTAAAAAAATCCTTCAAGAAATATACAATTTAAAACTGGTCAGAATTTATAATCTGGATGTTTTGGTGCCAATAATTCGTCTAATGACAAGAACATACAACTATTAGATTTGCCAGAACCGCCAATAAAAGAGTCGAGATGCCAAGTTCGGAACAAGTTCCATAAACCATAACTATGGTATGGGCAACATTTTTTAATTGATTCAAAATAAAAATTTGTTACGACTCTTTTAATTTGAATCTATTACTTGGCATATTTTGATAATCAATATGTAACATTCATATTTAATTTAATTTTTTGTTGTAACAAAGTTTAGACAAATTTACAAAGAAAATAAGTAATGTTTTTATATTGTTAAAACGACGTCCCGATGTCGTTGTCAAACCCGGAGTACCTTCAGCTTTTTTAATTATTGTTTATGGTCCGATCTATGCAAAAACAACTGACTATGTCCTGAGGTTTCGCAGTTTTATGCTTGGGTTTAGTTTTAATTTTATTGATTATGGGGTCCCAAGCAGGTGGTAGTACCCAGCCTCCTTCTCTATTGAAATTAGGATATTTTTTAATTTCAATAGCCTCACGTATCATCCTTGGTAGGAATCGGTGTTCTTTCGCGAGTATTTGTGGTCTATCAAATCTGATGTAATGGTTGGGGCCATCTAGGATATGATCACAAACTGCAGACTTCACGGAACGTTGATGCTTCACATCAGCTACATGTAGGAAAACGGAAACGTCGGGAGTTAAAAATAAAAATAATTAGAAGTAAAACGAAACGCGATAAAATTCGTAAAAGTAGTTTTAATCAATATAATTTTTGCTTAAAAATGAACATGAATAATATTATAACAAGTGGAGCTAAGATAAAGTGTAATATTTCTGTTTATGTTCTAGAATTGGAAGTTCAACAAATTCATCCTCCCAACAATCAACGATGGCACCTGCTGTATGCATTATTTCCGACGATGATGAACATTTCCTCGTCAGTGATGAAGATTCTGTTTACCTGACTAACGAACCTTTTCCGCTAGGAAGCGAAAAGTCTCCCACTCAGAAAAAGTTTTCCCAGAATAACGAGGTAGTAAGTGATACTCCATCAATATCAACACCTCGTACACCACCCGTAACAAGAATCTCCTTAGAAAATAAAGCAAATACACCAAACAACGAAGCTACGATTATAAATCCTGATGTTTACTTAGATTATCATCATATCGATCACATAAATGAACAAGTTCCTATTAAGGACACCACCGTCACTAATACGACTGTCGGTCCTCATACAATCTGCTTAGACAGTGATGAAGAAGATCCTGTAAGACATGAGACGGCTAAAGGCACCGTTACCAATCCAGCTACAAATATAAAAATTACTCAACTGCCTGTCTCTGTTACGACAATGGCATCGAATGTCGTACCACTTCAAAGCCCATCAACTTTAAACACTCCCGTGTCTGGTACTCCAGAAGTACCGAATTTCGCACCAGATAATCGAATTGAGATTCTTTTAGATGAATTACAGCAAATAGAGGAAAGAAAAAAAACTTCGGACTCTGATGACTTGGTAATGATTTCTGACGATTCCACAAGTTGTGCAGAATTTAAAACTGATACTAGTAGAAAAAATGAGAAAGGCACGAAAATCAAGCTCTTGTCACCAAAACCTGTAAAGAAAAAAATACAAAAAATGGCACAATATCCGCCAGCAGAAGATAAAAAAAAATCTTCGACTTCTTCAAGTCCACCAAAGCTTCAAACTTCTATTCCAGAAGGAGTCCCCGTTGAACTGTAAGTAGCAAAAATGTGAACATTTGTTATTGGCAAAGTTTTAAAAAAATCCTTCAAGAAATATACAATTTAAAACTGGTCAGAATTTATAATCTGGATGTTTTCTCGATCATTAGCGATCTTGTTCGCCTCTTGGTGCCAATAATTCGTCTAATGACAAGAACATACAACTATTAGATTTGTCAGAACCGCCAATAAGAGTCGAGATGCCAAGTTCGGTACAAGTTCCATAAACCATAACTATGGTATGGGCAACATTTTTTAATTGATTCAAAATAAAAATTTGTTACGACTCTTTTAATTTGAATCTATTACTTGGCATATTTTGATAATCAATATGTAACATTCATATTTAATTTAATTTTTTGTTGTAACAAAGTTTAGACAAATTTACATACATACATATATAAACACTCACGCCTGTCACCCAGAGGGGTAGGCAGAGACTACGGACTTCCATTTGGCACGATCCTGACATACCTCTTTCGCCTCCTTTACATCCATATATCTACGCATACATGCTCGTCGGTTAAGGGTACTTCTAACGTGGCCCATTTTCAAAATATCGCCAATTTGGTCGATAAACTTTTTCCTAGGGCGTCCCTTCCCGACTCGGCCATTCACATCTGCCATATAAATTTGCTTAGTCACTCTTTCCTCATTCATTCTTTCTACGTGACCAAACCACAGAAGCATTCCTTTCTTAATCCTGGTCACAACATCATCTTGCATACCACATTTATCTCTTATCACGCAATTTCTCACCCTGTCAATCAGATTACACCCTAGCATATTCCTTAAAGACCGCATTTCTACAGCATTTATTCTACTTTCGTGCTTCTTCTGCCACACCCAGCTTTCACTACCATACATTAAAGTAGGGACTAACACAGCATTATGAATTACCATACGTGCCTGTTTTGACAAATTCTGGTTCTTCATAATAGAGTGTAGTGCCCCATTCACTCTATTCCCTGCATTTACTCGTCGTTCTATATCCCTATCATATCTACCATCCCTGCTAAATACACATCCCAAATACACAAACTCATCCACTTGCTCAATCAACTCTCCTTCTATTCTTATTTCACATACCGTTTTGCTTTCTTCTCTTTCAAAAACCATCACTTTCGTCTTACTTGCGTTCACTTTCATTCCCCTTTCTTTTAATTCCCAGTTCATTAATGTAACCATCATTTGCAACTCAGCCGCCGATGACGCAAGTATGACTTGATCATCGGCATACAAAAGGCATTTGACGGTTAACTCGCCCATTCTTAACCCACATTCTTCATCTTTCAAAGTTTGCAAACACCGGTCCATAAATAGGTTGAACAGCCAAGGGGAAGCCACACAGCCCTGTCTGACACCTTTTTGGATGCCAAACCAGTCCGAGTAGACCCCATTGATCCTGACACAAGCACTAGAGTCCCTATAAAGAGACCTTAATGCCTGTATCAAACCAGCGCTCAACCCATATGAGTTCAGTGTTTGCCATAACACATTCCTGTCCACTCTGTCATAAGCCTTTTCCAAGTCCATGAACGCACAAAAAACTTTCTGGTTTTTGGCCAAAAACTTCTCCGCAATCATGCGCATGGAAAAGACTTGATCTGTACGCCCCATTCCCTTTCTAAAACCCGCTTGCACATCCCAAATTTTTCCATCAGTTTCTTTCATAACTCTTTCAATTAACACCTTAGCATACAGTTTACCCACAATACTAAGCAAGCTGATACCGCGGTAGTTTTTGCAGTCCTGCTGTGACCCTTTTCCTTTATATATTGGTACTATAACTGCTTTACACCAGTCATCCGGTACCCGTTTTAATTCCCAACATAAATTAAACAAGGTGTACAGCAGGCCTGCCACCACTCCCTCTCCAGCCCTTAGCATCTCGAGTGATACTCTATCATATCCAGCTGCCTTACCTGCTTTCATGCTTTTCATTGCTTTCATTATTTCATCTACACTTATTTAGACAAATTTACAAAGAAAATAAGTAATGTTTTTATATTGTTAAAACAATTTAAAAATCTTTTTAGCAATTAAAGGGAAACTTATTATTTGCCCATACTTTTAGTTTGTTACATTAAAAATAATCTATGACGCGCTGTTAAAGTGTTACATCACAGTATGTCACCTTATTTTATTACAATATTGACGGTAGGTAGAACATAATGATTATATTCAATTATTGTTCACAATCACAAGTAAGGCCCTTCTATCATGCTATTAAAATGACGGAACTGGTTAAGTTATTAAGTCCCAACAAATATATTAACGCATTGACGCATTTCCACGTAGCGATATGCGCTACATACATTATTTGTATGATCTTCAAAAACACTTACTTAGCAAGCCTAGTTGTATTATTCACTATTTATGAATGAAATATTACTATTTATCGACGATATATAATAACTTTTTTTATCCTTTTTACTTTGTTTATCAACTTTTTACTTTCTAAGATTTAATGGTAACGAGAGTTTTTAATTAAATAGTGTACATATATGTGCTTAAAGTAAAATGTAAATTTAATGTGATAATGAAAATATAAGTCATACGGAATGATTTATTTTTGATGAAATGTAGATTTATGTCTATGCGAGCAATACAACATTCATTAACCCAAATCAGTACTTTACTAGTAGAAGCAATGTAAAATTCTTTTGATAAATTTCTACATATTTTTTCAATATAATTTTTATAATGATTTCTTATATTTACGCGAACACTACACATTGATTAAAACTACTTTTACGGATTTTATCGCGTTTAATTTTACTGTTAATTATTTTTATTTTTAATTCCCGACGGTTCGGGTGCTTTCCAGCACCCATGGTCACGGGGGACTGAGGCGACTGACGTCCCGATGTCGTTGTCAAACCCGGAGTACCTTCAGCTTTTTTAATTATTATTTATGGTCCGATCTATGCAAAAACAACTGACTATGTCCTGAGGTTTCGCAGTGGTATGCTTGGGTTTAGTTTTAATTTTATTGATTATGGGGTCCCAAGCAGGTGGTAGTACCCAGCCTCCTTCTCTATTGAAATTAGGATATTTTTTAATTTCAATAGCCTCACGTATCAGCCTTGGTAGGAATCGGTGTTCTTTCGCGAGTATTTGTGGTCTATCAAATCTGATGTAATGGTTGGGGCCATCTAGGATATGATCACAAACTGCAGACTTCACGGAACGTTGATGCTTCACATCAGCTATATGTAGGAAAACGGAAACGTCGGGAGTTAAAAATAAAAATAATTAGAAGTAAAACGAAACGCGATAAAATTCGTAAAAGTAGTTTTAATCAATATAATTTTTGCTTAAAAATGAACATGAATAATATTATAACAAGTGGAGCTAAGATAAAGTGTAATATTTCTGTTTATGTTCTAGAATTGGAAGTTCAACAAATTCATCCTCCCAACAATCAACGATGGCACCTGCTGTATGCATTATTTCCGACGATGATGAACATTTCCTCGTCAGTGATGAAGATTCTGTTTACCTGATTAACGAACCTTTTCCGCTAGGAAGCGAAAAGTCTCCCACTCAGAAAAATTTTTCTCAGAATAACGAGGTAGTAAGTGATACTCCATCAATATCAACACCTCGTACACCACCCGTAACAAGAATCTCCTTAGAAAATAAAGCAAATACACCAAACAACGAAGCTACGATTATAAATCCTGATGTTTACTTAGATTATCATCATATCGATCACATAAATGAACAAGTTCCTATTAAGGACACCACCGTCACTAATACGACTGTCGGTCCTCATACAATCTGCTTAGACAGTGATGAAGAAGATCCTGTAAGACATGAGACGGCTAAAGGCACCGTTACTAATCCAGCTACAAATATAAAAATTACTCAACTGCCTGTCTCTGTTACGACAATGGCATCGAATGTCGTACCACTTCAAAGCCCATCAACTTTAAACACTCCCGTGTCTGGTACTCCAGAAGTACCGAATTTCGCACCAGATAATCGAAGTGAGATTCTTTTAGATGAATTACAGCAAATAGAGGAAAGAAAAAAAACTTCGGACTCTGATGACTTGGTAATGATTTCTGACGATTCCACAAGTTGTGCAGAATTTAAAACTGATACTAGTAGAAAAAATGAGAAAGGCACGAAAATCAAGCTCTTGTCACCAAAACCTGTAAAGAAAAAAATACAAAAAATGGCACAATATCCGCCAGCAGAAGATAAAAAAAAATCTTCGACTTCTTCAAGTCCACCAAAGCTTCAAACTTCTATTCCAGAAGGAGTCCCCGTTGAACTGTAAGTAGCAAAAATGTGAACATTTGTTATTGGCAAAGTTTTAAAAAAATCCTTCAAGAAATATACAATTTAAAACTGGTCAGAATTTATAATCTGGATGTTTTCTCGATCATTAGCGATCTTGTTCGCCTCTTGGTGCCAATAATTCGTCTAATGACAAGAACATACAACTATTAGATTTGTCAGAACCGCCAATAAAAGAGTCGAGATGCCAAGTTCGGTACAAGTTCCATAAACCCTAACTATGGTATGGGCAACATTTTTTAATCGATTCAAAATAAAAATTTGTTACGACTCTTTTAATTTGAATCTATTACTTGGCATATTTTGATAATCAATATGTAACATTCATATTTAATTTAATTTTTTGTTGTAACAAAGTTTAGACAAATTTACAAAGAAAATAAGTAATGTTTTTATATTGTTAAAACAATTTAAAAATCTTTTTAGCAATTAAAGGGAAACTTATTATTTGCCCATACTTTTAGTTTGTTACATTAAAAATAATCCATGACGCGCTGTTAAAGTGTTACATCACAGTATGTCACCTTATTTTATTACAATATTGACGGTAGGTAGAACATAATGATTATATTCAATTATTGTTCACAATCACAAGTAAGGCCCTTCTATCATGCTATTAAAATGACGGAACTGGTTAAGTTATTAAGTCCCAACAAATATATTAACGCATTGACGCATTTCCACGTAGCGATATGCGCTACATACATTATTTGTATGATCTTCAAAACACTTACTTAGCAAGCCTAGTTGTATTATTCACTATTTATGAATGAAATATTATCTATTTATCGACGATATATAATAACTTTTTTTATCCTTTTTACTTTGTTTATCAACATTTTACTTTCTAAGATTTAATGGTAACGAGAGTTTTTAATTAAATAGTGTACATATATGTGCTTAAAGTAAAATGTAAATTTAATGTGATAATGAAAATATAAGTCATACGGAATGATTTATTTTTGATGAAATGTAGATTTATGTCTATGCGAGCAATACAACATTCATTAACCCAAATCAGTACTTTACTAGTAGAAGCAATGTAAAATTCTTTTGATAAATTTCTACATATTTTTTCAATATAATTTTTATAATGATTTCTTATATTTACGCGAACACTACACATTGATTAAAACTACTTTTACGGATTTTATCGCGTTTAATTTTACTGTTAATTATTTTTATTTTTAATTCCCGACGGTTCGGGTGCTTTCCAGCACCCATGGTCACGGGGGACTGAGGCGACTGACGTCCCGATGTCGTTGTCAAACCCGGAGTACCTTCAGCTTTTTTAATTATTATTTATGGTCCGATCTATGCAAAAACAACTGCCTATGTCCTGAGGTTTCGCAGTGGTATGCGTGGGTTTAGTTTTAATTTTATTGATTATAGGGTCCCAAGCAGGTGGTAGTACCCAGCCTCCTTCTCTATTGAAATTAGGATATTTTTTAATTTCAATAGCCTCACGTATCATCCTTGGTAGGAATCGGTGTCTTTTCGCGAGGATTTGTGGTCTATCAAATCTGATGTAATGGTTGGGGCCATCTAGGATATGATCACAAACTGCAGACTTCACGGAACGTTGATGCTTCACATCAGCTATATGTAGGAAAACGGAAACGTCGGGAGTTAAAAATAAAAATAATTAGAAGTAAAACGAAACGCGATAAAATTCGTAAAAGTAGTTTTAATCAATATAATTTTTGCTTAAAAATGAACATGAATAATATTATAACAAGTGGAGCTAAGATAAAGTGTAATATTTCTGTTTATGTTCTAGAATTGGAAGTTCAACAAATTCATCCTCCCAACAATCAACGATGGCACCTGCTGTATGCATTATTTCCGACGATGATGAACATTTCCTCGTCAGTGATGAAGATTCTGTTTACCTGATTAACGAACCTTCTCCGCTAGGAAGCGAAAAGTCTCCCACTCAGAAAAAATTTTCCCAGAATAACGAGGTAGTAAGTGATACTCCATCAATATCAACACCTCGTACACCACCCGTAACAAGAATCTCCTTAGAAAATAAAGCAAATACACCAAACAACGAAGCTACGATTATAAATCCTGATGTTTACTTAGATTATCATCATATCGATCACATAAATGAACAAGTTCCTATTAAGGACACCACCGTCACTAATACGACTGTCGGTCCTCATACAATCTGCTTAGACAGTGATGAAGAAGATCCTGTAAGACATGACGGCTAAAGGCACCGTTACTAATCCAGCTACAAATATAAAAATTACTCAACTGCCTGTCTCTGTTACGACAATGGCATCGAATGTCGTACCACTTCAAAGCCCATCAACTTTAAACACTCCCGTGTCTGGTACTCCAGAAGTACCGAATTTCGCACCAGATAATCGAATTGTGATTCTTTTAGATGAATTACAGCATCCTTTACAAATACATAATTATCCTAATGTGGGTACTAGCAATTCTGCTGCGAGCAAAGTTGAGCCAATTAAAGATATTAATCTTACTCTTAAAACACCCGTTGAAAATAATAAAGTTGCAAATACACCAACCTCTACTCCTGTAAAACGAATATGCAAACCTGGTGATATTATACGAATGAATAGCTGCAGTGAGAATGTAATACTAAACAAAAAATCCTATACTGTTTCAAAATCAAATGCAAAAAAAATAGTTAAAGAAAAGGCTGTAAATTTAAACAAGAAGAAGATAGAAAAGTTAACAAACAAAATAAAAGATCCTAAAGTACAACATGAAGCAGACGCACAATTTCCCAGTTCAAACAATCCATTCTCTATAACAAAAAATGTAGTCCACATAGAAGCCGATGAGTACGATGACTCTGAATCCAGAAAATTAATAAGTAATCAAGTACCGAAAAACAAACAACTGATTGTGCAATCAAATGCCAACGTTAAATCAAATATTAACAACTTAACGGAATATGTGCCTATTAAAAAAGTAACAAATATAAATAAACCTATGACTTTCAATAACACTTTAGAAGGCCCTGCTACAAACATTCAAAAATTATCTTTTACACCGTCATTCAAAAAGAGCTTGCCTAAAACAGGTTTATGGAAAAGAAAATGTATCGTTGCGAATTTAAGCACTGCCTCAAAAACAAATAGTGTTATTATAAATTCTGTTGATCCCACAGATACAGTGTCCGATAACACGAGGAACCTTGTGGACAAAGTTACTGCGAATAAAAGTGAAAACAAAAATACCTCAAAAGGTTATGTAGTGATCTTATCTGGTTCGGCAAAAGACCTCAAGATTGTTCGGACTGGAGAAAAGTCTTCGAATTTATCGATTTCGGTGGATTTGACGTAAGTACATGTATGCCATTTTATAATTAATAGCTATATTCTACAGCTATCGACTTAGTAAAACTTGTTTACGCGTTTCACTCGCTTAACTTAGGACGAGAGGTGATGATAACCCTTATGGGAGCAGTAGCGGCCCTAACAAAATTTTTAGGTGGTGCGACATCTCATAGTGGCGCCCCTCTAAATACAAAAAGTTAGTGTTCCTACACTATGCAGTTGATTTTTCGTGATTTTAAGTAGTATTAGACCTATCGCATATCTACTAGTGAGTGTAAATGTGGAGCAAGCACAGTTGTGTCGGTCGCTCTTGCCATAGAAGTCGTTCAGCTTATTAGCGTTAATGAAACGTCCATTCTGCTCGCACTACTCTGTTGCGCTCGACAACGCTTATAATCTTGTTTGACAACTTTTATTTAAACTGTTGCTCTACATACAGTGTTAAAAACATTGAACTACATTGTGGTACTAGGTGCGTAGTACATAGTATCTCGATGGTCTAAAAAGATAAAAGAACTACCAACAACAAACTAAATGAAAAGCCTAGATGGCCACTTTCTGGCTAATGCGCTTGCAATTTTTTTTGATAATTCGGAATAATTTAACTTCTGGGTAATAGAATTTTCTATCAATAAGAGATTCCGAGATATAACAGTCTTTCCGGACACATAGTAGAAAGTGGGTAAAGTTTAAATGTTTTAATGAACTAAGACTCCGTTTCCATTTAGCGACAGTTATAGTACAGGTATGGACAGCGAGATACGAAGTGCTGTTTTTTTATGGAATAGGGTGACAAACGAGCACACAGTCCACCTGATGGTAAGTGGTTGATGTGGCCCATAGACATCTGCATCTATCCTCGATTACGAATCAAAATGCAGATGTGTTGTCACCCGTAAGGACTAAGATGGAATGCCTCGTTTCCAGTAAAAAGTGTCTCCGGTTCTCTACACTCAACATACGAAACACAGCAGCATTAAGCTACTATTTTACGCTGGTATTCTGTGAGAGTGTGGTCTTTCCCCGGTCGAGCTGACCCATTCGTGCTACAAATATACTACTAATATAACTGCAGCATGGCTTTACTACGTAAACTGTGTTGTCTACACATTTGGGAAAAATATCCTGCCAATCATCATTTTTAATAAGTCTGAGAACTTTATGTGGCTCTGCTGATTGAACATCTCTAAATAATGGGTTCAAGCTCATAAGTTCCTGAACTAATTTACAACTAGACTAATCACATTATGTTCATCTGTTCAACTGATTTTCAAATCAACAAAGACATTTTGTCCTTTCGGGAATTATTTTCATTTTGTATAAAAATGAACACATATCACAGAATCTGGATAGTTTAAGTCAAGTAATCAATGCACTTTTAACTGTATCAATCACAGGGGGGAAAAAACGTTCATTTTAAACAATTGTTTAGGATCAGTTGATGTCTCAACTACGGCTTCGTCCACAAATAATATTTTATTTCTTCGGGATCGGGCTGGCTTAAAAATTGGATCTATCTGTTGATGAAAAGACTCGGTACTGTTTCAAAATTCTGATAAAATTTTCAAACAATACGACACCTTTGGTAAATCCATAGATTCAGACTGCATAGCTTTTTTTGTGCGAGCAACTACAGGTCTTGAAAGACCATTATCACTGCGACCTAAAAGATCTATTGTGATCGTTGATATGGCTATAGTTCACTGTTAAGCCCTATGTCTTCAATGAATAGGAATCGCTTAGCTGTGAGCAATTTCGCTTCTTCTGGACTAAGTAGGTAGTTTCCCAGATGTGTTACGTTTGCGCAATAAAGGGCCTACAATCACTCAGGATGTGCAGAGGCGTTTCTTCCGTTAAGGAACAAAATCGGCACATCCTTGAGTTGCTTAGTACCAGGACAGCCACTTGATTTTTAAGACAACAGTGTCTAGTCAGGGCTATATCCAGAATATGCAGTTTAATTTTACCTAATCCCAGAGCTTCTAAAGCGAATTTAAGATCAAAATTAGACCCAGATTAAGGTTTTAACATGTTTTAAGCCTGATGTATCAGCCCAGATCTTAAGCGATTTATTGAGATAAAGAGTTTCAAGGGGCAATCGGGCTAGGCTTTTTGAGATTCCACAAAATGGCTCGGTTCCAATTTGTGTGCTCTTTATGACCTCCCGACCTCCCGTGCGAGCTCATCGACAAGTTCAATGCCTACAATACCCACGTGGCACGGAACTCATCTTAAAATGGCCCTGTTGTTACATCCCAAGGCGTTTAGATGGTTCACGCAGTCTCCAAATTCTTCTCTGTCTTCGAGTTCACTAAGTTTAATCTCAGCGCTAGCAGTGCTGTTTGACTATCAGACTTTGTATATATTATGTGATTGACATAGTGTTTTTGCAGACTGATTTCCGCACACTGAAGTATGACGAAAATTTCTGCCTGGAAGATTGAGGTGAATCTACCCTTATTCATACTAAGTTTGAATTTGGGGCATTCCCCATAAATTCCAAAGCCTACGTCGAGGCCCATTTTTGACCCGTCGGTGTAGCCATATAAGGCTACCGAGTTAACCTGTTTATTCAGCCAGTCTTCTCTGGAGAATAGTTCCACTATATACCTTTTGTTAAAAATGTATAGTGGACGCATCATATCTGAGATCATGCATAAGACCCGTCTTTCCTTAATTGAGTCGAGCATGGATCTCAATTTTTAGGAAAGCAAGCGCAGACCGCCCTGGGCGTTAATCCTGTACATACTAGCCTTCGCCTCCTGATCTAAATAAAGATCAAGGGGCGTTAGTCACAGAAGTGCATTAAGAGCTGCTCCAGGCGATGATCGCATCGTTCCAGTTGCCATTAAGCAGGCAGTCCTTTGTAGACTATTTAGTCTATCCACAGTCGTCTTTTGGTTGGCCTTGTTGCACCAGACAATGGAGGCGTAGCTGATAATAATCGGTCCAACTGTTCCCAACCACATGACTGCACATGCCTAAAACAATTTGAGCCGTATGATATACGCTGCTAGGGTGAGAGTTACACGTTAGTTTTTGGTCGATTGTTACGACCAAACACTTAACTTCTTCGATAATTAAAAGAATCAGGCGTTACGTTGCGGAAATCAATTATATTGAAGTTGTTAGGACTTAATTTTCTCATTTCCGCATTGATAAAATACAATGATGTGTGCTGCGTAGTCTGAAGAGCACCCACCTCCCTCTCTTCCTCAGTTGCGTGCTCTATCACCTTCACCACCACTTTCAGCACCACCACTCTCAGTATTCACCACTCTGTACCACCACCCTCATCACCACCACCCTCATCACTACCACTCTCAGCACCACCACTCTCATCACCACCACTCTCGTCACCCCCACTCTCATCATCCCCATTCTCATCACCACTACTCTCATCACCACCACTCATCACCACCACTCCCATCACCACCACTCCCATCACCACCACTCCCAGCGCCACACCTCCCAGCACCACCACACTAGGAACGACACACTACCCTTGTTAATACGACATGTGTTTCGCCTCTAGACGAGGCATCCTCAGATGAAGTAGACTCTGCAAAGTTTGACACTATCTTCATCAATACTAATACCATAACCACTCTCCCCGCTTTCCACACTTGCTATTTATACAACTCGTTGATCAGCGAGTTGTATAAATAGTTTCGGCTCGCTGCTCACTTAGCCTTCAGCCACCGCAGATACGACTTCACCTGTGGATGCCTCGTATAGAGACGAAACACGTATCATATTACCGAGAGTGGTGTGTAGTCCCTAGTTTGGTGGTGTTGGGTATGGTGGTACTGGGAGTGGTAGCTACGGGGATAATGCATGCAATCGAGGGTGGTTGGGAGGTGCTCTTAAAATGAGTAGGACACATTATTTTATTTTATTAGACGAATATGAGCATATTAAGTTCTAAAAACTTCAACCACATGGATTGAAAAGTGCCCGAGAATATTGAGTCAAATTCTGGTTTCAACACCTTTAATATTCCTGCCAAGTTCGCACCATTGACCTCGACAATCATTCATGTATTATGCCCAATTTCACCAACTCTCTTTACTATCCGACTGGATGTAGCCAAACTAACTCCACCCATATCCGCCACAGCAAGCAAGTGAAGCCGCCTGTGGCGTAATATCTTAAAGCTATTAATAATTGATTTATGGGAACCCACTTATTAGGTAAAATATTTAACATACTACAATTTTAATAATATTATGGATTATGGTAACTACACTAAAATGATTACATTACTACATTATATATGCAACGCAATCACACGCGTTCGCAACGTCGATCTGTGATGTCTAGTTCGGCGTGGGAAGGTGGAGGGGATGTTAGTGCGCAATCCTACGCTTTTTTTTTTGTGCACGAAGCAATTAAGGGCAACCCTCCGGTAACGGGGGAGAGAGAGGTGGTGAATGCTCATAGCATACCACGCAGCCGACTGCGTGGTTATGTGGAGACTTTTACCCACTAAAGACCACCCTTTGGGATTGGCTTAACGATCTTAAGCCGTAAACGGACGTGACCCTCCTTGGGTGAAAAGAGGGCGCAGCCAATCCCACGCGTACGGCCAGTGTGTTCCTAGAACCTACGTATAGGCATAGCACGTCATAAACAAAGAGACCTTTGCACTACACTGCTGTTGTCAAAATTTAAAATGAACAGCTCATCGATTTAGTAAGGCGATACGAATGCATGTATTTATAATATTAAATGTGTAGATTCTCACGAAGCTTAATTACGTTATACAGTATGGGAAGAGATAAATAATACACCTAGTGATTACCTATCCACCTACTGCTATCATATTTGTTAATAACGTGAAAAGGAGAGATCGAGGCGCGAAATAAAAAAAGTTTTTATATTTCTGTCCTAGTTATGTTAAGATATGAAACACTATTTTTTAAATGTTGCGGAAATAACACATTGCAATTTACATATTCGTGTATTTGTTTGCATTATAAATCATAAATCTTAACAGAATTACCATATCTTTTATCAGGGGTGCTTCTTCCAGTAGCAGTAATGACTTCAGAGCGACAGTGGACACCAAAGCGAGTGACACTAAGAAAAGACAGAAGACGACCGTAACGTCGAAAATAGCTAAAAAAATAAAACAGGAGTCATTCAGTTAGTACAAGTTGTTTTGCTTTCTTTAATAATCAATTTATAGCTCTTGTTCCAGGTCTAGAATAGCTTATTCTTAGGAAGTTCTCTCAGTTTTCTTCTTGATAGGGAGATTTTTTAAGAAGTACACATTTTAGTTTCTGCGTCTGTAGGTGAATTAATTAAACACAAGTAAGAAAAAGTCTTTCGTAGCCATAGAGTATTTTTGTAATAGAGTTGTCATTATGAAAATGCTTCATATTGAGTCTTTAATCAATATGAGCCTTTTTCATAATGAAATGGATGGAGAATGGAGGATATCCATTCTCCATCCATTAATATACCCAGCAAAGTCCACTGCTGAACATAAGATAGGAGAGATTTTGCCACAGTTGCCATCCTTGGCAGGTGGCTTGGCGCTTTGTTGAAGACAAGGGAAGTTGGGAAGATGCTGATGGCCACCTCTTAGTTCAGTTTCCTTCTGCCGGCTCTTACAACAGCCACGTCCGTGGATATGCTTACACCGCTACTACACAGTAGGCCTCGTATGAAACTGAATATTGCTAATTGTGCCCTACAGGCACAATTGTGTGCTGGGTTGGTGGAGAATAAAACCGCAGAGATATTTTCTTTCTTCTATATTCGATGTTTTCCTTGAGGTAGCTGGCCGCCGACTGTGTCGAACGACGAAAATCGCCCTTCTTTTATACCACCTCGGCTGGGTCAATCGATATGGTGTACGTATCGTACAAACGGCTTCGACCAATCAGCGCAAGGCGTGACAGCAAGTGACGATGCTGAGTCACGTTACATTGTTTACCTTAAGCTAGTTCTATACAAAGTAAAGTAAAGTAAAGTAAGTAAAGTTACAGCCTATAATACGTCCCACTGCTGGGCTCAAGCCTCCCCTCATTTCTGAGAGGGTTTAGGGCAAGGAAGTGTCCGCCGCGCTGCCCAAATGCGTGTTGACGAACTTCACATGTCTTCGAAATATTTTTTTTCTTATTCCTCAGACATGCAGGTTTCCTCACGATGTTTTCCTTCACCGCCGAGCACGTGGTAAATCAGCACTTAAAATTGCAATTAACAATTTCATTGGTGCCGGCGGGGATCGAACCCGGGTTACTCGCGTTCTGTTATATTTACAGCGAGAGTTAACCACTGAGCTACCACGGCTCTTTACTTACTATACAAAGTGACCAACTAATACTATTATACAAATATAAGCTCTACACTATTATTTTCTTAACATAAAATGCTTATATCCTTTTTTTGTGTAACTCTGAACTATAATCTTTATTAACATAACATAAACGCTTATATCCTATTTAAGTACAAACTCTAAACTATAATATTTATTCCATTAATATAAAAATGTTTGTCTTATTTATGTTTTATCCTATTTGTTTTCACTTGTCCCGCACATCACACCCGCCGTGCGACCGCGTCGCATCAGCTTCCGGTGCGGGCTCGACGTCCGTAGATAGAAGGATAGGATCACAAGCTTCCTTATTGGCCGGCGTAGGACACCTCCCTTGGTCAGCACGTCCACTGTCCGCACGATGTTGTCAGGACCCGGATATGTAGCGATGACTCTTCCTCGTATCCACACGTTGCGGGGTAGATTGGGATCGACGATCTGTACGAGGTCGTCGACACGTGCTGCTTGGCCTCGTCCGTGGGGCTCCCGCCGATGTTGGAGCTCAGGGAGGTACTCCTTCACCCAGTGTAGTTCCGCTAGCACCGCTCATAAATGGAGCTCCAGGCGGGATGTAGCGCCAGGAGATAGTCCTCTTCGCTGCTTCTTCTGCGGTCGCTGCGTCGACCGCTTGTCGTAGTTCCTTATCGGCTGCCTTCAGGTTTGTGCCGTTGTCTGACCATATTTCTGTCGGGCAGCCTCGCCGCGCGATCATTCGCCTTATGGCCATTACCGCGGAGTCAGCGCTGAGTGAGCCGGCGACTTCCAGTTGTATAGCTCGCGTAGTGAGACATGTAAAAATGGCCACATATCTCTTGTCGAGTTCGTCCGACGGTCACCGAAAGGGGTCCGAAATAGTACACCCCGGTGTAGGTGAAGGGGCGCTTGTGGTGAGCTAAGCGACATGTTGGCAGGTCTCCGGTTCTCGGATGCGGTGGTAGTTGCGTCTTCATTCTGCAGTATAGGCATCTTCGTAGTATTGTGCGTACGATAGGGCGCAGTCTCAGTACCCAATACTGCTGCCGGCACTCGTTGACTGTGGCCTCTACACCGGCATGATGGAGTTGCCGATGTATAGCCCCCAGAGCTATAGTACCCAGAGCTTGACTGTATGATGATCACCGTTAATTATCAGCGGGTTCTTGAATTTTTCTTCCATGTCGCAGACCGCTCGAATACGCTGAGCTGGCGAAGGCGGCTCTCTTTGTTGATCGGCTTTCCGCTGTTTAGGCTGTCTATTTCTTCCGCAAAGGATTCTTCTTGAGAGGATCGCATCAGGAGTTCTTCAGCTGTTTTAAGCAGCTCGGCTGAGACCATTAGCAGCTTTATGTCTTCTGGCGACCGCTTCTTTGTCGTCGTGTGCGCCTGATATTTTACTGTAGCTTTGTTCTTTTTCCAAGTGGGATTAGCCTCTTTATTCTTCTTTGTTCTTTTGTAGTTGACTCTCTGTTTGGTGTTTCTGCAGAGTTGAATGAACTGTAGAACACGTGCGGTTGAGTATCGGAGTCGGTCCCAGTTGAAGAACTTCGCTGGATCAGGCAAGCTTCAATCTTCCTTTGTTGCTCACGTGATGTGTCCTTTCTTCGTCGGAAGGTTCTTCCGCTGTTGCTCTTGTGGTTTCCGTCGGCCAGAAGTCTTCTGTTAGGTATAAGAAGTCAGGTCCTTTGAACCATCGATGGTCTTTATTAAATGCTGCTGGTACCTCTCGTGTGGCATCGTCCGCCACGTTCAGCTTTGTCGGAACCCAGCGCCAGTCGTTGACTTTGGAACTCTCTTCTATTGCTGCTAGACGATGAGCCACGTAGGGCTTATATGAACGTGACCCTGTCCTTATCCAGGTTAGTAGAATATTTTGCGGTCAGGTTTCCTCTCGTGTTCTTCGATTACTGTTTCTGCGAGTCTGGTGCCCATGACTGCTGCCTGTAGCTCCAATCTTGGGATGGACGTCAATTTTAACGGTGCCACCTTTGCTTTCGCCATAATGAGGGATAGGTGGACCTCGCCTACTGCTGTTACAGCTCTCCAAAAGAGAACCGCAGAGTAGGCTGACTGGCTGGCATCGCTGAAGACGTGGACTTCTAGGGAGGCCGCGTCGCTGTAGTGAAGATATTGCCGCGGGATTGCTACTTCGCGGAGGCCTTTCAGATGCTCCATCCACATTTCCCACTACTCCGCCAGGTCCTCGTAGATCTTGTCGTCCCATGCTGTTCCTCTACGCTAGACTTCCTGTAGGAGTTGTTTTGCCCTGATGGTGATAGGTGAGGCGAATCCTAGCGGGTCGAAGAGCGACATCACTATTCTCAGTGCTTCTCTTTTCGTCGGCTGCTTCCCTTCTAGGAGTGTTGAGGGTATTCTGGCTAATTAGTTGAAGGTGAGTTCGTCTGAGTTGATCTTCCAGACAACACCCAAAACTCGTTCCATCTTTTCTTCTGTTTTGTAGAGTTCCATGTCTTCTGTTTGACTGTCTTCTCCAAGTGTTTCTAGGAGTGACGCCGAGTTCGATTTCCAGTTTCAACTCGAAGCTGGCTTTCATGTGCACGGCTTGTACACTCTTCGTGATGCGTTTGGCGTCTACGAGGGTTCTGAAGCTGTCCAAGTAGTCGTCGACGTAGTGCTTCTTTATGATGGCAGCTGCGGCTTCTGGGTGAGTTTCCACGTGCTGTTTGGCGTTCAGATTCTTGACGTATATTGCTGTCGAACGCGAACTCGATGCTCCAAAGATTAACGATGTCATTCTGTATTCTTCTGGAGGTTAGTTGTCTCGTCGATCCCCACGCCACAGGTAACGCAGTGCGTCCCTGTCTTGTCCGCCGTAACCGCGATCATGTGTTGTCGGAAGCGCTTGACGACACCTGGTAGCGATAGTAGTAGGTCAGGCCCTTTAAGTAGCATGTCATTAAGTGCCACCCCTTTGGTCTTGGCTGCAGCATCGTGTACCACCCGCAATTTCTCCGGTTTCATTGGGTTGACTACAGCAAAGTGAGGTAGGTTCTAAGTCTTGTCAGCCGTCTTCTGTTTTGGGGCGGGTTCGGCTTACCCCTTTGCGACGAGAGCGTCCATTTGTTCCACGTATTTCTTCTTTAACGTAGGATCAAGATCGATCTTCTTTTCTATAATGAAGAGCCTCTTCAGCGAGTTTTCGTAGTTATCTGGTAACTTGACATCGTCTTTGCGCCAGAGAAGACCGGTCTGGAATCTTCCTTCTTCTATCTTTGTTGTGGTCTCTTCCAAGATACGAAGTGCTTGTTCTTCTGGATCAGTCTTCGGTCTCTTGGGTTTCATGCAGAGTGCGTCCATCTCGAAGTATCGCTTCACGAGGTCCTCTAGATTCTCGTCTGGATCCTCTGCGATGTGTGACACGAAATCGATATTCCGTCCGAAGCTTTGTGTCTGGCTTCCGTGGAGTACCCAACCTAGTGGCGTGAGAGATGCCACTGGGTGGTTCTTGTCTCCTCTTCTTACTTCTGATGTCAGCAGAAGATGCCAGTTATATTGACCGATCAGCACTCGTGGCTTTGCGTTTGCATATGTGAGATGTCCTTGGATATCAGAGAGGTGTTGACACTCTTCCACTAGTTCCTGTGGGACCCGTTGAGATGAGTGACTTCACTGTGCGTGCATGTATTTGCTCTTCATGATCGTTGAGCCCCTTTAATTTGATGGTGACTCTCCTTGATGCCGACTCCGATACTTTCTTGTCGTTGATGGTTTCTATCTTCAGTGGGTCTATGGGGCCCGTTGCTCCGACGTTTGTTACTATGCTATCTTCGACGAGCGTGACTGTTGAGCCGTCGTCCATCAACGCGAAGGTGTTGACAGCTCCTTTTGGTCCTTTAACCTGGATCGGTAGGATTTTTAAATACGATTGCTTATTGACCGTCCACGTTGAGTTGATGACCTCTGTTGCCCCTTGATTTTCTTTTGCTTCTGTGTCTTCCGACTTCTTTTCGTAGTGCAGCATCTTGTGGTGCGAGTACTTGCAGCTGTTGACATTACATGACTTGGGTCGGCAGTGGTGTCTTGTTCCTATAGCGAAGACACCTAAAGCAGAGGTGCTTGGACTTGGCCATGTCTCATCTTGCATTTGCATCTAACTTCTTGAATTGTTCACATTCTGTGGCGTTGGTGTGCCCCGTATCTTCACATACGACGCACCTTGGTATGTATGTCTTCTCAGTCACGTTGTTGAACCTTTGAGTCTTCCTTTGTGGTGCGGCTGTAGTAGGCGGTGTCATCTGTTCGGGCAGCGCGTAGGGTCCACACAATTCTGCTTCCCTTTTGAAGAACTTCTCTATCTTGAGGAGACAAGGGTCTTCACGTGGCTGCATGGCTGAGAAGTCGTAGTATTTATAACGCAGAGTTGGCGTCAGTTTGTCTACTATTGTCTTCGCGAGTTCAGGATTGTACATGTAGTTAAAACAACCCAAAGTCTTCAGTGTCGCCACTACTTTGGAGACCTTGGTGGCGAATATGCATATGTCTCTTGGTGACTCAATAAGGCGCGGCAGATCTATAAGCGTCTCCATCTCTAGCATGGCTATTGACTCTGGTCTTCCAAATCTTGGCTTCAAAGTCTTCATTAATTCAGCCGGGTGTGCGTTGGTCGTAAGTAGGCCTTCAACTGCTTCCTTGGCCTTCCCTTTCAAGTTACTTCTGAGTCGATTCGTATTTTCAACTGCGCTGAATGTTGCTTCTGTCTCGTAGTAGGCGGCGCGAAAGGGTAGCCATTCCTGATGAGACCCACTGAAGAATGGTAACTCGAACAACTTAGGTCGTTGGGTGGCGCTGACAGCCCGAGTGATGGCTTCAGCTAGGAGGGCTACGTCAGTTTGACCACCCGCCGGTGACTGATGTGTTTCTTCATGCTTTTTCTGCCTTGGTTCTTCTGTGTGGGCGGTTGTTGGTTCTTCTATGGCATGGTGAGGTTCGTTGGTGATTGCTAACACCGGGCGATTCACTTGATTTCCCATCCAGTCGTCCACTCTTGCATAGAATTCTGATCTCGAGTAGAGGGAGGCGTCATCTTCTTCTTATTCCTCCTCCTCTTCTGAGTCTTCCCTTTCCAAGGCAGCAAGACGTGCTGCGGCTAATTCCACTTGAAGGCGTAGCAAATCTTCTTTCGCTTTTGCAAGCTTGAGCTGCTTCGTTCTACTGCGTGTAGATCCCCCTCCTTCTCCCTTTTTGCTTGTTCCTGTAATCCGGTTTGCTTCGATGGACCGGCAGTGCTTCTTATGGCTCGCTTCACTGTATCTCTGGTGACAGTAGCGGGCGGCTTCATCAGCTGTTTGGCCTTCGCACCCGCAGTTAGCGTCGTCGCCGCGGATAGTGTTACGGAAGGAGCGACGGTGCGTGCGGGGTGCGCGAAGGGGGTGGCGGTTGTGGCTGAGGTGGCGGCGGACGAAGTAGTTGCTGCGGTGGCGGAAGTCACGGTGGACGGATCAGTTGCCGCGGAGGTGTCTATATACTCCGAAAGTCTCCGTGGCGGTCGTCCGAAAGTCCCCGTACTGGCTTCCGCACTGGTGGTACCGGTCGCCGAGGTGGTAGCCTTGGACGACGACGGCTTGCTGCCCCTTCCCTCTGAGCGCGTAACGGCCATGCTGTTAGCTGGCTTTTTCTTCGAATAATCTTGAGTATTGAAAACGATTTCCGAGAAGTCTTCTTAACTCGTTGTAGCACTATTTGAAGTCTTCAGGTAATTATTTTCCACAATATCCTGCTGGCGAAGGACCATGGGTTGGTGGAGAATAAAACCGCTGAGATATTTTCTTTCTTCTATATTCGATGTTTTCCTTGAGGTAGCTGGCCGCCGACTGTGTCGAACGAAGAAAATCGCCCTTCTTTTATACCACCTTGGCTGGGTCAATCGATACGGTGTACGTATCGTACAAACGGCGTCGACCAATCAGCGCGAGGCGTGACAGAGCAAGTGACGATGCTGAGTCACGTTACATTGTTTACCTTAAGCTAGTTCTACTATACAAAGTGACCAACTAATTCTATTATACAAATATAAGCTCTACACTATTATTTTCTTAACATAAAATGCTTATATCCTTTTTTTGTGTAACTTTGAACTATAATCTTTATTAACATAACATAAACGCTTATATCCTATGTAAGTACAAACTCTAAACTATAATATTTATTCCATTACTATAAAAATGTTTGTCTTATTTATGTATTATCCTATTTGTTTTCACTTGTCCCGCACACTAATTGTCGAAAAATAAAATGTAACGTACCGTCGTGTGGTAGCAGCATGGGAGACTCCACCACTGCAACCGGGGATGGGTTGGCCACAGATGGGTTTTGTAGTGGGAGACTTAGAGAAAAATGCCTTATAGATTTTATTAGCAGTAGTGTTAAAGGTGTGAGGCATCTGGTACTTTCACCGCTAATCCGCCAACCAAGTGTGATGATTATAGTCAATTCGCCAGGAAAGGCTCATGACACGGGTCTAGCTATATTATAAGTACATTAAGATATACTTTAAAAAGGTGTTTGAAATATCTATTGTGATTTGGTATGTCAGTAACGTTTCTGTTTATCTTGCAAGGAGATCGGTCACTCCGATTTAATTTTGGCAGGTGATGACAGAGATGCAATATTAAATATCTATATATACAGATGAACCGCTGTCCGTTAGTCGCACTAAGGCTCAACAGATTTAGATGAAAGTTTTTTATGTGTTTAAATGGTTGATGGTTTAGAGTTCAGTTTGGTCTTCGCCGAATCACCTGCGAAGCGTAAAATCTCCCTCAAACACACTGTAGTTTTTATAATTGTTTCTAATTGTAAGAGCCGCCGAAAGATGGACTGGATGTAAGGAATATCATCCTTGCGTGATTGGGTGTTTTAGCTTCTTTTAATCTTAATTAAAATTCGAGTTATTTTTCAGTCTTTCTTCTATAATAATATGCTAGTCAGATAAGACACAGCAGTCTCTTTGGACAACGTAAAAAGTTGTTTTTTTAAACAAAAGTATCTTCTATCCAGGGACATTAATACCACTTTATCGTGAGCAAACATTTGCCATCACCAATAAAAACTAACATTTTATTAACATTTTAATTATTTTTACAGAAATACTGACGCTGAAAGACTTTGACATCGACGATAACGACGATTTTGTTGACCTCGGCTAAAAAATTAAATTTTATTCCAACAATCATTACTTACTGCTTAAATGTAAAATATGTTAAGGCTAAAAACTCTACATTAATGTTAATAAAGCTTTTTCCTTTCCTTTGAAAGTATTACGCTTAGTGTTTTATGTGTACATGTAAGCCAGAAAGATTTCTGAACTGAATCATTGTTACATTGAGTATAATGGATGGGTAACGCAACTTAAAAAAAGGATAGCATGAATAAGTTGATGAAAAGTAAAATGTTTTATTTTTCATTTTTTTGTATAAATTTTTGCGAGGTAATTTAAAACCGACACAACACAATTTAGGTGTAATGTTTGACTACAATGAGAGTTATTTCGTTGTTTTTTTTGTAATGTGATACTGGTTTTTTTATGTTTTTTTTTCAATTACATGAACATTATTTTTTATTAATAAGTAAATATTATAATTTAAAATGATTTTCAAAAGTGGAAAATGATAGTTGTGTATTGTTGTGATTGTTAATTTGTATTATTATTTAGTATCAAAGTACCCATGCGTATGTTTCTCGCTACACAGCTGAAAATTATAAATATTATGGATAGAGATATTCATTATTAAATTATTTATTAAAACTACTATTCATTTTACTATTTCGATAATCTCGTCTTAAGGTAAAATACTATAAATAGTTATGATAATTTTCATATAGAAATCTTATGTACATATCTCATATTGGTTGAGAACATGCAACTGTGTTTATAAAACTAAAGCAACCTCTGAAGATAACTATTTGCATTTCTGTGTGTCGGTAGTTGTATTAATATGTCATAAATAAAACAATATGATTAATATAACTGTCTATTATCTTAAACTTACAACCTAAAATACTTAAGTTAAAATAATTTATGATATTACATTACATACCTAATATATTAAAACTTCTACATAAAATTATTCGGAAAGTAGTTTTAGAATAACCATAACTGACCATTAGTTATCAGTTATCACTTTCAACTCCAAGCTTACATTTAAAATATAATTTTAAAACCTCAGATGAAGTAAAAAAAGGTAGATAGAGCGCGGCCTTTGTTATTGGTGAAGCCAAAAAAACTCCGCTCTTTTATGTAAGCACACGCGTTCACGCATACACATGCATCAAACTACGCTCATTTTCGCCACAGAGTACCTTTGTAGCTTGAACGAATTAACCACTGGACCCGACATATGAGCGGACTTACCTATACCGGTCTTGTCAGTAACCAGGAAATTTTAGCCTTGGTCGTTTGTTTTTGCGTCAGTCTCAAGCACTTAGTTGTCAACAAAACATCTCCCAAAAATGACTAATGGTTCAGTTAAATTGTGTAAAACAAATAGCGGCGGAAGCAGCACTATTTCTTTTCACTTGTAAGTACATTATTTTATTACATTTATTGTTATTTATTACAAAATTTAATCAAATGTAAAATATAATTTTGTATTATCCAACTATGTTATATATAGTCGATATTTCTGTGTATTGTTGACATCTGACAACCATCACAAAATGGCTGGGTTATACCTGTGAGTGTGAGAGTGAGACTAAAACTGTGGAGTGAATCAATTTGACATCGACTAGTGCTTGACCATGTCGAAAAATATATCGATATTTGATGATATGACCGAATGAATGATGTTATTTGTACAATACAATAACACTTAAAAATACTTATATAACAGTATCCTACAATTTGATGTCATTAAATTTATAATAGTAATTTTTATAATTAAATAAAAATATTAAAAATACAAAAATTATAATTAGTGTCCGTATTTAAAATATTTAAACACATAAATTACACGAATTTTCAGATTTTCTAGTGACCCTTCTCGGAAAAGAAAGTGGGTAGAAGCAGTTCGTAGAGATAAAACCTGGATTCCGACGAAAAACAGCGCCATATGCGGTATTTATTTTTATTCTGCCTGTTTTAATACTAATGCAAATAAACACAAAATGACACCAATGAATGGTCAGCACTGCGACCCCGAAGGGATTTCATAGTAAAAGACTAAAAAAAGATTACACAACAGACTTTCTCCTGCCGAAATTAATAGAAACATTGCTGCAACTTCCGTTGTACGAAGACATTCACTTTCATAAATTTGAAAACGATGACGTGAATCACGTCGAAGAATTAACGAAAGCCGTTGCTGAAAATATATAAATATTAGAATTGCTTATATAAGAAAACAAGCGAACAAAACAAATTCTAAGGAACACATTTTAAGAAAGATGATGCATAATAAAAGTCAGTAAACCTATTTAAATCATTTAAACTTACAAAAAAATTGACGTTTATCATAACTAATTGAATAAAAAGTCCATAACAATGTCTTGCTTCTTTTATTTTAATTAAAATTTAAATACCAGAAGCTTACCTCACCTTCATTATCCCTTTATTTCCTTTGTCTTACAGCTTATTTACGATACGCCTTTTCTTTCTCAGTCGTTCATCGATATGTTTTATCGACTACGTTCAAGCACTATAAATAGAGTAAACTTTTGCTACATATTTATTTATCTATGGTAAACTTCTACGAATTTCGTATCTGTGTTTATATTAACACAATAAAATCTTTGTGTGCGTTATTCATTATTCTCCACTTGGTTGAACGAGTTTTCGTACATTTGTGTTTTATGTCGGGTCCAGTGGATAATTCGTTCAAGCTTTGTATAAACTGAAATAGAGACCAATTTTCAACCTATAAAATGGCAATGCATAACTATCGCCATTCAACTTAAACATAGAAATTAATGAATAGCCTGAAACAAAGATAAGAACAAATTTAAAAAAATTAAATAATGTAAATCTGCATTCAACTTCTTCAATTATATTTCGTCGCTTCATTCTTCAGATACAATTAACTTAGGTAGTCCCTTAACCTACTCGAGGAATCCGCACGTTTAGAGAATCGATCTATTTTAAATCGATTTTTTTTCTGTTGGCAACTCCCACTCTCCATTTACCCACCGGTCCGATATCCACTAAGTGACTAAGTGACACTTCATTCCTTAACTGTGCGAGGCAACGTTCGCACGTGCCTTTCTTTAAAAGTGAAAATAATTTATATTCTGTGGTTACTATGCCAAAAAGAAAAAAATTAAACGTTATCGACGCAAAATTAGAAAAATGGAACAGCAGCAGCGAAAATACAAACGAATCATTTATTCATCTTCTGAAAATTCTGATAAAGATTCGTTAATAAAGTTTTATCTCTAAACATTATAAATACTAAATTAAATACAATATTATAAAATAATGTATTTACATTTTACCTGGAGGTTGACCGTGTGTCATCACGAAGGTGATTTTAATACCGAGAGGTTAACCGCGTGTTAACACGAAGGTACTTTGAAATCGTTCGAGAAACGATTTTACAGCTATTTTTATAAAATAATTTTATAATATTCGTATATTACTATTCGAATATAATATCGTATATAAAATTATATTGAGATAATATAAAATAATGTTACTATTCGAGCAGTAATTTATTTGCCTTTGGTTCGAATATCTACCCTCAATAACAATTATTGTTTTAGATAATGAAAATCTTGATAACGCCGATATAGAACCCTTGAATTCTGTAGTGTTATGCTACTTACATACCATTTTACACTATTTTAAATTTATTTTTCCATTCTGTTTTTGATTTTCTGCATTCATCTCAAAACTGGATATTTTGCATCACCTTTATTTCCATAGGTACCTGTAACATTTTTAAACCATAAGAACACAATAACAAATCATTTTCACTTCGTTTTTTTTACGCTATCAGCACTTTATAAATCGGTGTCAATGGAGTCTACCTTTTTCGATCTTTTATTTAGTTCTCCGTAACTCTGCAATTTCGGGCTTCGTGCGCGCTCTTGCGCTACCTTTTTTCCTATACCAATAATATCTTATTTTTCACTTTAATCTTGCCGTTTCTCTATTACGAGCCTAAAACCAAAATTTGACATGTTTTGACATCGTTGTTTATCTGGTTGTCATGGCAATTTTTATTCAAATATCGTTACCGGCCTGATGTTTTTACTTCAAAAATACTCTTTTCTTCTTGGCCATTTACAAAAATTTGCTTTTAATTTAAATAATTTCAAATAATTTCTCGTTCTTATCCCAGATCCGTCAAAAAGTATAAAAGCCGAAGAATCGGCCAATAGAGGTTCTCACTTCAGCTTTGATACGAGAAGCACCTCTTAAAGGCTTTATCCGCACTGCCTCGGGATCTTGCAAGCCTCTGCCTTCTCCTGAAGTCGTCGCCTAGCCACGCCTACGCCTCCACCTATTAGTGCCCGCGCTATCTTCGGCCGCTGTGCGTGCTTGTCTCAAGCGCTGCGTGTTCCTACTCCAGACGCTGCGTGTCTATTTTATAAAAGAAACTGTAAATATCTTTACAAATTTTAAATAAATTATTTTCTTCGACAATTCAGAGTATCCAAACGGCAAAAATAGTGCTTTAAATAATGAGGAGACAAAATATGACTCTGACCAAGAACCGGTAGTGTTGAATTAGAGCCTGACATCCTTACTGCCTTAGGTGAGACCACGGAAGAGACACCGAAGTTGGGCCCGAAACTCCATGAAAAGTTAGCTCGGCTATGGCTACCTATACTTCGAAAAGGTATACATAAAGAGGCGAAAGAGAAATTACTCAAAGAGTACCTCATACCGGAAAACTGCTCGTTATTACAAGCGCCAAAATTAAACCCTGAGATTTCGGCTGCTGTTTCTGAGGGCACCAGGACTCGAGACAAGAGAGTCGAGGCCGTACAGCAACAATTAGGGCAGGGGATATCAGCTCTTAACAAAGGTCTCGAACTCCTCTTAGAGGATGGCAAAGACAGACTTCAAGCCGTTAAGTTTCTCAGTGACAGCTGTAGAATACTATGTGACCTACACTTTGTAGAAACTGAAGCAAGGAAGAAATTCGTGACACCAGGATTGGATAAATCCTTTATGAATATTATGCAGGAAGTGGATCGCGATGACCTG